CTCACTGTGGTAGTGTTGAAAATCCTAAATCAAGCACTGGCTGGTGTGACTCAGTGGATTGAGTGCCGGACTGTCAATCCAAAGGTCGCCAGTTTGATTCCCATTCAGGGCACATGCCTTGGTTTCAGGCTGTGTCCCCAGTTGGGGGGACGTGCAAAAGGCAATCTATTCATATATCTCTCACACATCAATGTTTCTCTCCCTGTCTTTCTCCCTTCCTTCCCCTCTCTATAAATAAAAGCTTTAAAAAAATCCTAAATTGAACCATGGTGAGTCTGTGGGATGCGGGATGGTGGTGGTGTCATCAGCCTGTACTTTGTGAGTACCTGCTTTCTGTCAACCTTAAGTGCAGGGAACAAAGCAACAGCTGGGACTGGAGGATCCTCCCTGCTTGCATGGAGCATATTTATATTCTAGTTGACCCCCCCCCCCCAAAAAAAAAGTAATTTCCTTGTATACCTTTTTATTGGGATATATCATGTACAAGATAATACTGCACACAGATCATAAGTTGTAACTTGTTGGTTTATCATAAAGTAAACACATTTTTTATTCACCACTCAAGCCGAGAAACAGAACATTCTTAGCATTTTCTCCTAATAGCCTCTTTCTGATTTCTACCTCCATAGACTAGTTTTACCTATTTAAGAGGCCTTCATAAGTGGAACTAAATGTATTTTATGGTGTCTGTCTTTTTTTTAGAAGTATGTTTGTGAGATTGCTTCATGTTGTATAAAAATATAATTTCTGATGGTGAAAAGAATTAGTAAGAAAATTAAAGAAGGTAATGGTACAAACAGTAAGAGCTGGAAACATTTGTGGGGTGGTCAGGGATGATCTTCTGAGAAAAGGACTCGAGGTATAACATGAAGGGCCAGTGAGTTGTGTTAACAGTATTCCAAGAAGAGGGAATAGAAGTGGATAGGAACCGAGATGTGAATGAACCTGACGGGGTCTGAAGAGGAAGTAGTTGTGGGAAAGTGGAAGGAGATGAAATTGGAGAGGCAGGCAGGGGTCAGATCAGAGAGGGTCTTATGTAGCTGGGGTACTTGGATTTTATTCTAAGGGTAATAGATGTTTTTGATACCCTTCGGTTTCTAACTCAGCCACTTGAGGAGGATGGGAAGGCCTATCCATTGTATTCATCAAAGAAACCCTATAAATATGATAGCATTGGACAGCTATTGGGAATTAGGGGAAACATGAACATGTTCAGAGACCAGATCTTCTTGTCTAGTATCAGGATTTATATTCACTCAGACACACAATATGCTTCCACAATCAGTTTAGAAGACACTTTACAAATTAGTCATTTATTTTACACTGAAAATACTCTTGTCAGTTAGTCGCTTAGCTTGTGTTTGAAACTGTTAAAGAGGAACTTTGTCAAGAAGCTCATTTCATGTTTGGATGGATGTATTTTTTTTTTAAATTTATTGATTTTGAGAGAGACAGGAATAGGTGAGAGAGAGACAGACATTGATTTGTTGTTTCACTTATTTATGAATCATTGGTTACTTCTGTGTGCCCTGGCCAGGAATTAAACCCACAACCTTGGTGTATCAGGACAATGCTCTAATTGACTGAGCTCTACCCAGCTGGGGTGGACAACTCTGATTGTTAGAAAAGATTTCCTAATAATTAATCAAAATACCTGCAACATTCGTTATCAGTTTTGGGTCCAAACAGAACTGATAATCATCTATTATCTGTTGCCTCCCCTTCACTTCTCATGCAGTTGATTCTTGTTGGTTTGTTTTTTTCACATTTAAGTGCAGGACTTTTTAATAATTTAATTTTTTAAAAGTATATTTTATTGATTATGTTATTACTCTTGTCCCATTTCCCCCTTCATTCCCCTCCACCCTGCACAGCCTCTCCTTCCCACATTCCCCCTCTAGTTCATGTCCATGTGTCTTAAGTTCTTTATCTTTTACATTTCCCATACTATTCTTGCCCTCCCCCTGTCTATTTTCTGCCTGCCATCTATGCTACTTATTCTCTGTACCTCCCTACCCCTCCCACTCCCCTGTTGCTAACCCTCCATGAGATCTCCATTTCTGTGCTTCTGTTCCTATTCTAGTTGTTTGCTTAGTTTATTTTTATTTTAGGTGTGGTTAGTAACTGTGAGTTTGCTGTCATTTTAGTATATATATTTTTTATCTTCTTTTTCTTAGATGAGTCCCTTTAACATTTCATAAAATAAGGGCTTGGTGATGATGAACTCCTTTAACTTGACCTTATCTGAGAAGTATTTTGTCTGTCCTTCCATTCTAAATGAAAGTTTTGCTGGATAGAGCAATCTTGGATGTAGGTCCTTGTCTTTCATGACTTGGAATACTTCTTTCCAGCCCCTTCTTGCCTGGAAGGTCTCTTTTGAGAAATCAGCTGACAGTCTGATGGGAACTCCTTTGTAGGTGACTGTCCCCTTATCTCTTGCTGCTTCTAGAATTCTCTCCTTTATTTTAATCTTGGGTAATGTAGTTATGATGTGCCTTAGTGTGTTCCTCCTTGGGTCCACCTTCTTTGGGACTCTCTGAGCTTCCTGGACTTCCTGGAAGTCTATTTCCTTTGCCAGATTGGGGAAGTTCTTCTTTATGATTTGTTCAAATAAGTTTTCCACTTGTTGCTCGTCCTCTTCCCCTTCTGGTACCCCTATAATTTAGATGTTGGAACATTTAAAGATGTTCTGGAGGTTCCTAAGCCTCTCCTCATTTTTTTGAATTTTTGTTTCTTCATTTTTTTCTGGTTGACTGTTTCTTCCTTCTGGTTCACTCCACTGATTTGAATCCCAGTTTTCTTCCCATCACTATTGGTTCCCTGTGCACTTCTCTTCATTTCACTTAGTTTAGCCTTCATTTGTTCATCTACTTTGTGATTAAAATCAACCAGTTCTGTGAGCCTCCTGATCACCAGTGCTTTGAACTGTGCATCTGATAGGTTGTCTATCTCTTTGTCACTTAGAAGTATTGGCTCTGGGTCTTTGAGCTGTTTTTCTGCTTGAGCCATAATGTTTCAGTCTGTTTGAACCTATTACGTATGAGGGGCGGAGCCTTAGGTGTTCACCAGGGCAGGGCAACCCAAGTTGCTGGGTTGTGATTTTGTATATGGGGGTGGGTCTGAGATGGAAAAAATGGCACTTTGCTCTGCTTTCTGTTGCACCTCAGTCCCTTCCACTGCTTCCCCAAGCAAACCGGGACTTAACTGGTGCTGTTTCCATGCGGGTGGACTTGTGTGTGTTCTAGGACCCTGTGAGTTTCTCCAACGAATTTTCCTGTGAGGGTGGGAGTCTCTCCCTGTGCCTCAACCCCCACAAGGTTTTTCAATCGGTGTTTTGAGGCTTTATTTCCCGGGGCTAGGACCCTGGGTTGCGTGATCTGTCTTGCTCCCCAGTTATCTGCGCGCGAATGTGGGACTGATGACCAGTCAGCCAGCCACCTTGCACACGGTGCCCTGCTTCTCAGTCGCCGCCTCGCTGGGTCTGCCTGTTGCCACCCGGTGCCCAGAGTCTGCCAGCTGCCACCTGGGTGCCCAGGGTCTGCCCGGTGCTACCTTGAGCACCCAGGGTGCCTTGTACACCCGGTGTCACCGCTTTCTGTGCTGCTACCCCTCTCCTCCGCTCATCCACCCTACTCAGCCCCGCCTACGGGTCTGGATAAATGTGTCTATTTTAACTTCTTGGTTGTCCGACTTCCATACAGTTCAATTTTCTTTCAGCTTTGGTTGTTACTTTGTTTCTGAATTGTTGTCGCCCTTATTTTGCTTGTTCAAGGAGGTACAGTGTGTCTACCTACTCCTCCATCTTGGCTGGAAGTCAGGACTTTTGAATTTATTTAAATTTATCCCTGTCATGATTTCTGGAGTTAGATTTGGTTCATCATAGATGTTGTCCATATCTCTTTGGTTATGATTCTTTAGTACATCAGTTAGCTATCCCTTCCATCATTGTTTGATTAACAAACTTTTTGTTTTAGAAGTATGTCTTTTTTTAAAGATTTTATTTATTTATCTTTAGAAGGGAAGGGAAGGAGAGAAGGAGAGAAATATTAATGTATGGTTGCCTCATGTGGGTCCACTGCTGGGAACTGGCCTGCAACCCAGGCATGTGCCCTGACTGGAAATTGAACCACGATCCTTTGGTTCATGGGCCCGCACTCAATTCACTGAGCTACACCAGCCAGGTGATTAACAAACTTGATCAGCATGATATTAGTTAAGCATTATGTTCTTTAAGTTCATTGTGATTATTAAGTGTTACTGGTAGTTTATTGGTTCATGGGGAAGTACTTAAATATGATTACCTAGGGCCGTGGGTAATTGATTTAAATTGGTCTGATATATTAGTGATTTAAATGTCCAAGACAGAATATTTGTTAAGCTATATGTTTAGATCCAGGAATCAACATTTGTAAAGTCAATTTTAAATGTGACATCAAAGCAAAAAGGAGAGTGTTGTATTGCAGTTTTGGAATATATAGTGGAGTATGTTGATAAAAAGGGTTTTTTTGAGTTAGACTAAAAGAGAATTTGAATAGCTTGTAATGATGTATAACCTTGTCAGGTGCAGAATCAACATCAAAAACTGATTTAATCATGATTTTTTCTCTTTGCCTCTGTGATAAAAGTTCTAGTGAACAGTAAAATGATAAAAAATGGATGTAGTAGAAGGAAAGAAAGGGTATTTATATAACCCAAATATGAGTAATATAGTTACATAGTTTACTGAATGCTTTGTATCATTCTCCCTGACTGAGATGCTAGACTTCATTAGTTCTAGAGTAAGAAAGTAATTTTTGCCCACCTATTGATGGAATATGCCAATCTTCCCTAAATTTTCAGTTGATTTGTTTAATTCAATTTAAAAAATATGTGTAAAAACTATATCCTATGGTTAAAATGGCCCCATAGTTTTTTGTTTGTTTTTGTTTTTAGATCCTAGTTTATGGGTTGGAAGTATTCTTTTTACTACAAATGATATAGAAGTGTTGAGTGGAGGTGTTGAGAAGTGCGGAGGACGCTTTGGAGGTGATCAGGGAAGTCTTCACTGAGGACGTTGAACTTAAACTGAACTCTGAAGAAGGGCAGGATTTTTACAGGCAAAAGGAATTCGTTCCAACTTTTCTTAGGGAACTGGAATGGGTTTTGAAAACCAATCTGAACACAGGTGAAAACGTTTCAATGATCTAAGTGCACTGGCCCACAACTTTTCAAAGCTTTCTTATTTTAATATCCTTGTGGGAAAAGGTGAGAAAAAAAAGAAATATGTTAGAAATTGCATTTTACTGCTTTTTGTATTTTTTTTAAGAGTTGGGGCTATTCTTACGGATTCTTGCAAAGGTTTATTCTCTAAGATGGAAAGTTGGTGTAGTTAGTGCAGGATATTTTGGAAGAAAAGAAGTAAAAAATCAAACTACATAAATTACTTCAGTGGAAGACTTTCTCGAGTAAACAGAAAGATAAAATTCCTCTTCATTCCTGTTTCAAAGATAAATCACCCCTTTGTTTACCTTTGTGGTCTTATTTTTACCTGTAGTAAAAATAAGGTGAGCACGTTCTGGATAGAACTAAATGATTTGCTATCTACATATCTCTCTTCTTTTTCTACACTCAGAAATACTTGCTTGTAAGAGCAGACGCTTCCCCATCTTTAGATACATTGAGTCCCGTTTAACAGGAAGAGCTGTCTGTTGAGGACTAAGGAGTAAGGGAATCAAAAGCACCCCCTGTCCTCAGGGCCCCCGTTCGCCATCTTTCTACTTGGTTTAATGGGTTTGTTGTTGTAAGGACTATGCTCAGCTAAACTTGATATCCTTTTATTCTTTCCCCCTGCAGGCTACTTCTTCATAGACGTAAAAAAAATTACTATTTAACTCGTTGGAAGTGAAACATCACTTCCCAAAATTCTAATTCCAAAGACTTGGCAACATACCGTGATTAAGAAAAGCAGTGACTGACTGCATGTTAAAAGTATCCTGGCGCTGGCCCCATCTTTTCCTCACTGTGTTTGAAGAACATGGAGAAATGGTACTTGATGACAAGTGTGGTCTTAATAGGACTGACAGTACGGTGGACAGTTTCTCTCAATCCTTATTCAGGTAACATGTTTTTACTGTTTAGAAGATTGGTAAATATTCCTTTGGATACTTTTTGTTTATTTGTTTAAAAAGTTTTTTTTAATTTATTTTTAGACAGAGGGGAAGGGAAGGAGAAAGAGAGGGAGAGAAACAACAGTGCCTGGTTGCCTCTCACGTGGCCTCCACTGGGGACCTGGCCCGCAACCCTGGCATGTGCCCTGACTGGGAATCAAACCTCGATTCTTTGGTTCGCAGGCCCGTGCTCAGTCCACTGAGCTACACCAGCCAGGGCCATATAATTAGTTTTTATAGACCTAAGCATACTGAATAAATATTGCTTGTTGCTTTTAAACAAGCCATGGGAAGAGACAAATTTTGATTTTAGTATTGATTGCTTATCTTATCTTGCAGAGATTCACAATTTCTCTATACTTGATCCAAAGTGTTACTAATGATCTGAGAGCAAATAGCAACACTTGAACCAATTTTAATAACCTTTTTATCCCATCCTCCAAAGCTCTATTGGCTGTTCAGAAGGAGAAAGTCATGGGAAATCTTTTTTTTTTGCAAAATTATTGTTAATTATTGTTAAAGCATGTCTGTGTTCTGTTTAGTTGGTTAATTTCTCTCGGTTTACCTATTGCCATTTGTAATGTTTCTTCTTTTTTTTAAAGACCTTATTTATTTTTAGAGAGAGGGGAAGGGAGAGACAGAGAGAGGGAGAGAAACATCAATCTGTTGTGTCTTAAATGCCCCCACCTGGGGACCTGGCTCAAAACCCAGGCATGTGCCCTGACTGGGAATCAAACCAGTGACCTTTCTGTTCACATACACAGGCTGGAGCTCAATCCACTGAGCCATCACAGCCAGGGCTGTAATGTTCCTTCTTACTCACCAGGAACATGTAAAAGGGGAATTTTTATTCTGGAAAATTTTAGCCAGTTTTTCCTCTCTTAGAATGTTTAAAATTTCAGTGTAAAGGCAAGGAGTGTGTATTGTTTTCAAAGAAACCACTTGTTTTTTTTTTTAATTCTAACAAAATTTTGAATAATTTAGCAGTTAACAAAATGAATATTTAAGTGGTGCTTAAGCCCATCTTCCTGAGAATGAGATAAAATTGAAGCTTTGTAAATACATTAATGTGTTTACTTTACACAATTCTGGGTCCCATGTAAATAAATTTGTAGAATTAATCACAGTGGAAGGAATTCTTTATGCCCTTCCCAAGTGAAGCTCCCATGGGTACCATCGGGTTGTCCTTCTGGGTTGGTTTAAGGGCACTTGAGCAGTTTATAAAAACTTAACTACTAATTTCATAGCCAGTGTAGGTGAATTTATTGAAGTAGGTCAGACTCTGGATAGAAACTTGTTTCCTAACCCTAAAGAGAGTCATTATCCATTCTTCTATTTGTGAGAGAATGGTAATAAATTCTTCCACATTTGACCACAGTCTAGAGCAATTTCAGAAAATCTGGAAAGCTGGATTTTTTAAAGTATAGAAGTTATTTAACGTCCTCTCTGACTTTTATTATCCCGGTGGACCCAAAATAAACCAATAAAAACAAAACAAACAAAAAATAAAAATCAATTCCTTTCCCCTATACTCAATGGCCATATTTCTAAAAACAGGAACACACACACACCTATAAACTACACATACAAAAAAAGTAATTAATTCAATGGGGGATTATTTCACCTTAAAAAAATGTATGTTTTCCTCCTCCCATGCCTGTTCTGTTGATTAAGGAGTTTTAATGAAAGTATGTACTATCTGCCTAGCAATATGTTTCCTTTGAGCTCTGGAAAACTCTAGAAGAAACTGAATAGAATAGTCATGTGACAAAATACACGAGACTGAAAATGTAAGTGTCTTGAGAAGCAGTATTAGTGATCAATATGTTCTTAATTTGTAAGGAGAATTTGGAATTTAAGATGGTTTTTGTGGTTGGATATGAATTTATAGAAGAGATGTATGAATGGGGAGCAGGCAGCATGAACAGAGGCTTGGAATTTCATGCAGACAGTAACTTAAAGATGTTCTTGGCCAAGAACTGATATACAGGCAAAGTAGCCATGGCATAATTAACTGGTCTACCTACCATCATAAATTATTCAAGGTCTCACATTCAATAGTGGATAACCAGTAACTGAAATCTTTTGGATATAAAAAGGACATAGGTTTTTAGGAAACTTCTGTGTTCTTTTCCTTTACCTATGCTACCTCTATAATTTAGAAAAATTTCACAAGGAAATAAAAATCTGATATACTAGAGTATATTGTTGTTTTGCTCTTTTTTCTTTTTACCTTAGGTGCTGGAAAACCCCCTATGTTTGGTGATTACGAAGCTCAGAGACACTGGCAAGAAATTACTTTTAATTTACCAGTCAACCAGTGGTATGAACAACTTTGACTTGATTTTCTGGTTTAGCAGAATCAATTAAAATAGATTATTTGAAGCTATGTAAAAGGAAAATAATGCTACTGCTTTTTTCATCTCGAGTGTCCTCATCTCCCTGTGGACTGATGTCACATGTATTCCCTTGCACACTGCAGGCCCATTTTGAATGTCATAGCCCTGAAAGTTACCTGTTTACTCAGGTACCAGCTGGAATACGGTACCGAACTAGAACTTTGATGGTAGAATGCCCTGTGCCTTAGAAATTCTGCTGGACATGAACAGTGGAAGTTCATGGGCTAAAAATATTTCCTCTGGAGGTTTCGCCAAGTTTCTCTGTTAGAGATGGATGAAGGGTAGAAAAGGAGTAGCTGAGGGATGAAGACTGTAGGTGCTACAGTCAGACCAGGTCCTGGCTCTGCTATTTATGTACAAGCAGCATGACCTCTGGCAATTATTTAACTTTCTCTGCTACAGATTTATCACTTGTAGAATGGAAATAATGGAATGCATGTTTCACAGGGTGATTGTGAGGACTGAACAAAACGATACATGTAAAGCGCTCAGACCAGTGCCTGCAATGTAATGAGCTCTCAATAAATGTTAGTGGAGGTTATATTGTCACAGAAATTCATGCTTGTATCATTTTTATTGCACACGTTCTGGTAATAATTGAGGACATTATTTATTGACCTTATTGGATGCCTGGTAGATTATTTTGTTAGAGACTGTCTATACAAACTCTTCATATTGTTCTGTCGACTTCTTTGGTCAGATCCCCAGACACTGATTTAACCATTGAGCATCACTGTTCAGGTTGTTAGTACATTCATAATATTTTTGTCTTGCTACTAGTTAACTTTGTTTCCCCTGGCAGATTTTGAAGCTTTCATTGAACACTTTTAAGTATCTTTTTCAATCATTTCCCTTTTCTTGTTGATGCATTTCCGTAAGAATAGGGAGCATAGTTGTGAACCCTATCCTTTCTTCCCAGTGCAGCCAGCTCTCTGTGAGCGTGTACTGTTAGTGTATATCCTGGTGTGCGTACAGCCTACTGTCAGCACCTCTTCTAGTTATTTCCAGTGGATCTCAAGGGTAGAGTAAACGAAAACTAGCTTTTGCCTTAAAAGAAGCTGGAAACCAAATCAAATTGTAGTGATCAAAATGTAATTCTTGAATTTTTTGATGGTTTTCTATTGCTATAGTAGTTTTGAGACAAACCATCAGAATTACTATTTTGCACTTACTTTGTGTCAGGAAGTGACTTAACAGCTTTACTTGTTTCACTCAATCCTGTGGCAGCTCTCTCTATGAGTTATGTGTAAGAAAACTTCATGCTGATGTGCCCTGTAGTAACATGACTTTGGAAAGAACGTACGTAATTGGTGCCTGTCGTCTGGCAACCCTGTTTAGAGAGGTGGGTCCTCTGGTCGCCACTGTTGGCTGGCCCAGTTTCCCAGATTCAAGCTGTGCAAAGAGGTTCCAATGAACATGCAGGTTCTTGGGTTCACTGCCTCTTGGCTTCAGGTCTCAGCCAGATGTAGGATCCAGGATTATTTATTCACATGGCTGTTGCTGCCGCAGTGGACACCCGCCACCAGGTAGTGCCATTCTTAGTACCCTGTGCCCAGATCTCTTCCCTGTTTAGCACACTTTGATCATTCTGTTAGTACCAGTTCCTCCATTTAAACCTTCATCTATGTGACTGACATTAAGAAAATGAACGTTAACAGTCTTGGAATCATGATGAATGCTAATTTAAAAAGTTTTCTTAATCCCAAAGTAAGAGATCGTGATGCTGAGAAATTGTTACCCGTTTGAAACAGGCTTATTATGAATGATGGTTTTATGTGAGTTGTATAGTTTCATCTCCAAAATTGTAAATTCTTATGACTGAGAAAATAAATTGGATAGTTATAATGGATATAGTTATAATCGGATAGTTATAGTTATAGTTATAGTTATAATTGGATAGTTATAATGGATATAGCTGACTAGTTATAATGGATATAATTAAATCCATTCTACGTAAATTTCATTTTTATTTCTTGAGTCAAAGTAATTGTATATCGTTTCCTTCCATTCTGGCCTCCTGGAGAAACATCTTAGTTTATGAACATTTGACCTAGTTCTCTTCCTTAATTCACAGAATCTGGCAGAACACAGGCTCTCGTTCTGTTTGGTTGACTTCTTTTCAAAGTCTTCCACCTGTTTCATGAAATATTTTTCTTTCCATAAATGAAATCTTTGTGTTCTTTGATACTCATTTTTTACTTTATAGTGTTTCTTTTGTTAGACTATAAGAAGCAATTTGTTTTTTGTTGTTGCATATTTTCTTTTATACAAGTGTTAGTCATTGGTTAAGTCTAGTAATAGTTGAGTGATAAGTTCTGGTTTGTCTAGGACAGTCCTGGTTTGTGTCTATTGTTATGGTTTAATTATTGATAGCTTCCTCTTTCACTCTCAGGAGTATGCTGGTTTAGACAATAAATTAGTTATTGTACTCAATAACAACTTTTAATTATGAGTTCACAAAAATTTTTAGAAGGGGAAAAGACAAGAACGTTCAATTGAAATTTTTAACTCATCTAACATATCTTTTCATTTAAATTAAATGAGATGAGATGTTAGATGTAAGTCTACGTCCTGAATATTGATTAATGGAATGATGTTTTTTCTTTTTTCCTCCCCAGGTATTTTAACAGCAGTGATAACAATTTACTGTATTGGGGATTGGATTACCCACCTCTTACAGCTTATCACAGTCTTTTGTGTGCATATGTGTAAGTTTATCTTCCTTAATGTAACTATTTGTGTCCTTGGCAGATACAGTAAGGAACAGTATGACCCAGCTTTGTTGGATAGAGGAGAATTGTAGCTGCCATTGTATTATGGTTTGTAAAGCACTGTACATTTACAATTGGGTTGTAAAAAAGTTAACTTTCAGAGTTTGAATATTTGCATAATTCCTTTGGAGGACAGACTAGAAAGGAAGGGGAAAAATCTAGCCTTGGCCAGGTGGCTCAGCTGATTGAAGTGTCACCCTGGAGGCCAAAAGGTTGCAGCTTGATTCCTGGTCAGGGCACCTACCTAGGTTGTGGGTTTGATTCTGGTTGGGGTGCACGAGGGAGGGAAGTGAGCCATGTTTCTCTCTCACATCGAGGTTTCGGTCTCTCTCCCTTCCTCTCTCTCTAAAATCAATAAACATATCCTCAGGTAAGGATTAAAATAATAAAAATAATAATAAAAAGAAAGGTGAAAATCTAGTGGAGTTGTTACCAGTTATACGTGAATGACTGAGAAATATACCAGTATGGTTAGTTGTGCGTGGGAATGCTTTTTTTCTGGAATGGCTCAAAGTAAATAAAAAATATGGGTCCAAATGGCAATCTGACTAATCCGTAAAGTTAGAAACTAGAATTACTTCAGTGTTACACTTGTGATTTAAGATCGGGATTGCAGTCCCTTCTTTTACAGAAATGGAATAGTTTATAGATGATTAGGAACTCCACTTTGTTGGAGAAAGAGCTCTGCTCTGTAGTGCTGGTTCATTCAGACTTGAGGTGTGCAAGCAGAAATGTGAGGAACTTCACGGTATCTTCTGAGCTCATTTGTTTTACTGTTTCATATTTTGTAAAAATTAGCTTCTTGGACTAAAAACGAATTGTCGGACTACACGATAATCAGTTATATTTTGCAGTGTTCAGGGTAACATAATGTGATTGAAACTTATTTTATCTGTAACAGTTATGTTTAGTTTTATGCAATAATTTATGATTAATAGCTATTATAGCTGATTGTTAGACTAACTGAAAAGATTATAAATTATAAGTGAAATGGGACACATCGGATTGTTTTTACACTGGAAGAATTGGAGAGATGGGGTTCTTAGTAACGTGTTATTACAGGGTTTCGTTGGAAGGGAGCAGGGCAGACTGTTGTAAAGCTTAGGTCAGCTTCACATGATTAAATAAAAGGACTGAAGTGTAGGCCTTGACTCTGCTGCCTTATAGGAGCAGGGCCCACTTCTCAAAATAGATTCTTATGTCCTTAGACGTCCAGGTTGCTAAAAGTGACGGGGAATTTAGTGAGCGCATGTGTATATGCTTTGATTTGCAGGGCAAAGATGATAAATCCAGACTGGATTGCTCTCCACACCTCACGTGGCTATGAGAGTCAGGCGCACAAGCTCTTCATGCGTGCAACAGGTAAAAACAATAGGTATTGAGTGCAAAATTTGATTAAAAAATTTTTTGAACCTTTTGGTAGAAGGTTTTATTATTGTTCCTACTTATTTTAAGACTACAACTATAATATACGTATATGTGTTGATTGTATTTGTAAACTAAAAGAGGAAAAAGTAGAAAGGAATAATTCTGGGTGGTTTACATTTATTATCCCACTTACTAATTTGAACACCCAAATAAGGTAAATACTATTATTATCTTCATTTTAAGGTGAAGAAACTGAAGCACAGGTAAGTGAGATGAACAGCTCATTTGAGGTGAGATAGCTATAAATTGAAGTTTTACTTGTTTAGGCTGTTGCTTAATATCCTAATTCCAAATCCATTTAGTCTTTTTTCTTTTAAAACTTTTATTTATTTATTTTTAGACACAGGGGAAGAGAAGGAGAAAGAAAGGGAGAGAAACATCAATGTGTGGTTGCCTCTTGCCTGCTTCCCACTGGGGACCATGCCTGCAACCCAGGCATGTGCCCTGACTGGGATTTGACCCAGCAACCCTTTGGTTTGCAGCCCCAGCTCAATCCCCTGAGCCACACCAGCCAGGGCCCTTTGGTCTTTTTCTTAAAGTAAACTTTACAGTTGTATTGCATTCATTGAGTTGCTATGCCTTGTTGCTAAATTAAATAATCCACTTATCAAATGTTTATGGAGAATTTACTGTCTTTGTTCTAAGAGTTGAAGGTAATAAGTTTAGATTGCTGTAAAAGCTTTACATGATTTAGACTTTATTGCTAGCCTGGAACTTTTCCTTAATTGGCCTAAATTTAGTAGTTTGTTCTCTTGGTTATTCATCCAGGTGTGGAATCTCAGGCCCGAGAGGAAATGCCTTGCCCATCTCCCCTCCCCCACACCGTTCCCTTTCCCCGCAGTGCTTCAGTCCTGTCTGAACTGCATACTCACCACAGAGTCACCTAGCTTTTCAACCAGTACCATAAGGGGGGCTCCCCCAAATCGGAATTTATTTATAAAAAATAGTGTATTTATTCTTACATCTTTAACCTTAAGTCACCTTGAAAATACTCTCCATTTGATGCAAAACTCCTATTGAGATGTTTTTTCCACTGCTCAAAACAGTTTTTAAACTTGTCGATTTTGATGCCTCTTAGTGCTTCTGCCATTTTTCGTTTCACCTCTCCCACATTGGCAATACATTTCCCTTTAAGGACTTTTTAAATCTGGAGAAACAAAAAAAAGTCACTTGGGGCACAATCGGCTGAATGAGGGGGCACCAGGGTCCTGCTGTTTTTGTTCTGTGGTGTGGGCAGGTGCACCCGTAACGCAGCCTCTCACAACAACACCAGCTGGTACAGTGATACTGGTGGGTTCCTAGCACACTCACCTGACAGGGGAAGCCTCTACTACAAGAGGCTCTCCCTCCAGAAAATAATTCCAGCTTTTTTGTTTATTTGTTTTGTTTTATTTTTGGTTCTCCCTTGTATCTGCAGAGACCTCACCATCTTTTTAAATAAATTTATTTATTTTGGGGGGTGATTAGAGAGAGAAACACTGATCTGTTGTTCCACTCATCTATGCATTCATTGGTGGTTTCTTACATGTGCCCTGACTGGAGGTGGAACCCGCAACCTTGGCATATTGGGTCGACATTCTGACCAACTGAGCTACCTGGCCAGGGCAGGAACTCACAGTCTTTACGCACTATTTTATTTTAAGAGAGCCTCAGTCATTAAAAATTTCCTTCTTATATTGATCCTCCACTAGTGATTTTGGGTTCTGTTTCCTTGAGCTACACAGAACAAGTCTGATCTGTTATGTGTATACTTAATACCTGAAGACTTTTGAAGTCACCTTTTCCCCATGTAAGACATTCTGAGGTACTTGAGTTATCTCTTAGATGACCAGTTTGTTGAATGTGATCATGGTTTTGAGGCCTCTGGTTGTACTCCTTGGAATATGTTTCGGTTTGCCAGTGTCATCTGAAATGTGGCATCCGGAGCAAGAAGTAGATCACATGCCTCCAACGCTGACACTTTTCTGTCATTTACCTTGTTCTGGACATTGCATTTTGTGTAGTACAAGAAAAAAATAGGCTCTCTGGATAGCTGTGCTGTACTGTTGAAGAAATTAATGTACATTATTTGCTTTTCTTTGGTCTAAAAAGATTGGACATGTAGAGTTATGAGAGTTGGTTTTTTGTTGTTATAAAAACATTTCTTAAGTTTCCCCCTCACCTGGGTCTCTCAGGTTCTTTATATATATTAATTAGTAAAAGTTTATGTATTTTTAAGTAATACTTTTAAAAGATTCCTGTGTATCAATCACTGCATTTGAGGTATTCACACCAGAAAATTTGGAATATAAAGATATTAAAAAAAATGTCTACCTTTGCTTTCAGTAATCTTAATTGTTAAGTTCAAGTCAGAGCAAAGAGAGAATTACTTTTGGATATAGCTGATTGATTTAATAAGTGAATTTGTTAGAGAAAATTAAGGAAAGAGACTGTAATACCATATCAGTAGAAATTTGACAGAGGTGAAGTGAATAGAGAGTACTCTCACATAAAGGACCTGTCCAGGGTGGGTGGGAACCTTGTGTTAACAGAATTCCCACTCAGAGTTGGAGGGAGGGAGACAGTCAATACAGTATTGTGTATAGATGCTGATGGTCTCATAATTAAAATCATTTACTTGTTTTTTTCAGTGTTAATTGCTGACTTGCTGATTTACATACCTGCAGTGGTTCTGTACTGTTGTTGTTTAAAAGAAATGTCAAGTAAGAAAAAGGTAAGTTTCCAAACAACCTGATATTTCATATCTGAAATCTTTTATTAGTTTAACTATTTAGTATGGAGCTTAAGGAAGCTGTGCTTTTGGGAATAAATACTAATAGGGCATTGTTTATCTCTGTTCATTAATTTTCATTTAGAAAACATCAACTTACCTTAATTATTTTAATGCCCAACTATAATAATGAGATGCACTGAATTCTGGAAGTTGTTTACTGCTGGATTGCACAGCATGTTGAATGTCACTGAACGGGAGCTCTGGGTTTGAGTCTGCGTGTGAGAATGACCGTACTGACAGGCACGTGAAAAGCTGCTGCAGGGTGTCAGAGTCACAGTAACCAGCGCTCCCTTTGGTGATTTTTATATTAGACAGTCATTAGGTTAATGTCTGTGATCTGTGTATCTAGACATGCTTTCTCTGACAAATACATTTTAGTGATTTTTTCCTTTTTACTGACGTATCCTGTCCGTGAAGTATCACCTCCATGAAAACTTGTCTTTAGAGTTGTTTTTATAAAAATGAAATTTTTTGATAACTAGAAGGTAAGAGGGGGAGCATTTGCTATTGTGTTAAATGAAACTACACTTTTACCCTGTTTGATTCAAGTAACAGGTTACTCTCCTAATTCACAGTATTTTTCTTCACAGGTTGCTAATGTATTATGCATATTGCTGTATCCAGGCCTTATTCTTATTGACTATGGACATTTTCAGTATCCTTTACTAATTTAGAAATTAAGTCAGATGGATACACATTATGAAATCTAGGCTCAATTTGTGTGATGTTGTCATTCTGTGATATCTGTTAGGGTACTTGCTTATATAAAGTCTTTTCACAGTGATATAGAAGGATCTGTTCATGAAGCTTTTATTTAAATGGTAAAGTAAAGAGTTGTTAAAGGTAGAATTGCTTTTTCACACCAGTTTGACTTGATAACTGATTAGCTCTTCTGGGGAGTGGGAGAAAAAGGGCCACGTGTAGTTACACTCTCCTAATTTGAAAAAGGTGTGACGTGCCTCCTATCTTTTGGAGCTGTTACCCGACACCGAAAAGGAAGAACAATATAGTTTTCTCAGTTTTAAAACGACGTGTTTCTGTAACAGTTATAGCTGGAAGCTTCAGGAAATAAACCAAATGACTAAAATTTACTATGTGGATTTAATGTGTGGTTTTGATAACTAAGATAAGGAACATTCAAGTAAACGAATCTTGGAGAAAAGTTGATAAAAATCTGTACCTGGCTCTACAGTTTATCTTCTAGGGTATTAAATGTTACTATCTGTACCCGCAAAAGACATAGTTCACAGCTACATGATTGCTTAACTATTAGTTTCTCCTTTTGATGCCAATCCCTTTTAGTTATAATAAAATTGATATGTGTGTCTGTCAACAACTTGCAAAAGGTAGTCAGATCTATAGTTGTTTTTATCATATTTTTTAATCTGTCCACTTTCCTCATTGAGGTTTTTTGGTGTTTTTTTGGCATTGTAAAATCAGGGTTATTGGATACAAAATACTGTTATAAGGAAAGGAAAAAAAGTTGTTTACAAGATAGTTAAAGCTATATTTACTTAGAAATATAACACCAACACAGAAGAGTGCACTGAAGGTAAGTGCGCAGTGTGGTGAATTGGCAAACTGTAACCCGTATAGAAAACAGCGCACTGCCAGTACCCACGCCACACCTGTCCGCCTCCTGGGCACTCCTGTCGCCTCCTTTCCCAAACGTGGCCAGGTACTAGTGTTCTAGTTTAGTCCCCCCCTTTATAACCTTGTGTAAAAGAGACAACACACTGGATATTCCTTTGTGTTTGTTGTTTGGCGCTCATCATTTTGTTTGTGAGAGTTATTCATGTGGTTGTGCACAGCTGTGGTTTGTTCACTTTCATTGCTTTATAATACTCCACTGCAAGAATACACAGAATTCTCCTACTAGTCGACATTTGGATTGCCTCTGGGTTTTGGCTGTGATGAATATGCTGCCATGAATATTTTTGTAAATGTCTCTGTACACATATCTCTAACACTTCTATTAAATTTAATTTGTTTTGTTAAGCATATCTTAAATTTCAATTTACTTTTTTTTCTCACCTTTTTCTGAATTATTCCCATTCATATAGGGTCAATATTTTCCCTTTTCATTTTGGTAGGTTTTTTCTTCAATGTTTATTCTATTGTTATTTGAGAATCAGACACAAAAAGCTGCACGTGAGCTTTTTATTTGGTCCACTGGAGGTGAAGTGGGCAGGGAGCTGGCCTGTGTGCTCTGGGATCCTTAAATATCAGAGTGTGGAGGGCTTTGCACCATAGTGTTAACTTCCCCACTAGCTGTCCCAGGAGGTTTATTCTGTTTCTTTGTAGAAATAGCCCTTCTTTTGTTGCTTGGGGCAGGTGGGGCATGGGAAGTGGTAAATGCTTTGGCTGCCAGATTGTCTTTTGCACAGGAGTGAGGTGGGATTTGATTTCTTCATCTAGGGATTTTCAGTTAATCCTCATGTTTTCTTTTCAAATATTACTCAGACCCTCTGACCTACTTGGTGTTTGCAGAGTTCCCTAGGGGCTTGCAGGGCGGGTGGGTGCCTTGCTTGTCTAAGCTGCTTCTGTGTTGTGGCTTCTTCCGTCTTGTTTTATTTGTTACCACTTTCTGTCTTCTGGAAATGGGTTGAAATCTTGATCTGTTGTAACCTATTTTCCAGTTCTCTTTATGGCTGTGAATTTATACTTTTAAAAATTCCCTATCATTTTAAGGGGGTCTAGGGAGGAAGAAGTAAACATTAGGGCTTAGCTCACCATTTTGAACTAAAAATTTAATTGTGAAGTTTTAATATAACAATGTTATTAGTTTATAATCAAGCACATATATTAGTTATATTGATGCACATTATTGAGGAATTATACTGACATCAGTAAATTTTATGTTTTAAAAAATTTTTGAAGTATCATTTTATTCTCTAGATTTTGGTATGTTATTTTAGTAATAATTGTGAAATAGTCTAGCAGAAACAAAGATACGTGTTAACTATTTAGAGTCATTTTAAATCTGCACAAATCAGTTACTCTCTTTAACAGCTTTAGGAGCTTCCAAGCAGGTGAACATGTTGGGGTGTTTTTGCAATGGCGCACCTGGAGGGGCCATAGAAGTTCCATGCCGGAGCCTTGCCCTCTGCATCTTTCTGTTTGGCAGTTCCTGACTTACATCCTTTTATAAAGGGCCAGTAATCTTCCACAGGTCAAAATCTTCAGGCTGGCCACCTCCCTCTGGAACCTGGGGCTTGAACCAGGTTGTTCCCTGGGGATGGGAGATGACGGAGAACCAGTATGACTGCAGCTGCTTCATCAGATCCTGATGACAGACTTCCAGCCAAGATGGAGGCATGGGTAGAAACCATTTGCTTCCTCACACAACCAAAAGGAAGATAACAACTGATCTAAAATCAATAAACAACCAGAAGTGCCAGAAAATCAAACTGCATGGAACTCCGACAACAAGGAATTAAAGAAACAGCCAACCAGACCAACCAGACTGGTAAAGAGTGAGATGGGGGCAGATGGGCGGATGGAGAGAATCTGAGGGGAGGCATCTGACTTCGTGGGCAGGGCTGACTTAACAGGAAACGGAGCCTTCGAGCCGACTGTGGACTATGGCAGGGGTTTCCACAGTGGGAGAAACTCCCAGTCTCACTCGTTGGAAAGTGGGGCTAGAGCCCAGCAAGTGAGCTGCACTGTTCCCTCTCCGGCCACTCCCCCACAGACAGCCCCCCACAGAGTAGCAAAGAGGGTGGTCGCATTGCCCTGGTGTATACCTAAGGCCCCGACCCCTTATAACTAAACAGGTGCCATGAAACAAAGAAACAGGGCCCAAATGAAAGAGCAGAACAAAGTTCCAGAGAAAGAGCTAAGCAATGAGGAGATAGCCACGCTGTCTGATGGAGAATTCAAAGCTCTGGTAATCAAGATGATCACAGAACTGACTGAGCTTGGTTGAAAATAAAAGAACAAATGAAACCCACCCAAAGTGAAATAAAGCAAAATATTCAGGGAACCAACAGTGATAGGAAGGAAACCAGGACTCAGATCAATGATTTGGAACAAAAGGAAGAAATAAACATCCAACTGGAACAGAATGAAGAAACAAGAATTTTAAAAAAATGAAGAGAGGCTGGGACAACTTTAAACGTTCCAGTATCTGAATTATAAGGGTGCCAGAAGGAGAATAACAAGAGCAAGGAATTGAAAACTTATTAGAACAAATAATGAAGGAAAACTTTCCCAATCTGGCAAAGGAAATAGAATTCCAGGAAGCCTAGTAAGCCCAGGAAGCCCAGAGAGTCCCAAAGAAGTTGGACCCAAAAAAGGACACACCATTAACAACCACACCTAAAACAAAAGCAAACTAAAAGGACAGCTAGATCAGGAGTGGAAACATAGAAATGAAGATCTCAAGGAGGGTTAGCAACAGGGGAGTGGGCGGAGGAGAAGGGGGGAGAAGGTACAGAAAATAAGGAGCATAGACAGTAGATAGAAAATAGAAGGGGAGGCAAGAATAGTGTGGGAAATGTAGAATCTAAAGGACTTGAGACACATGGTCATAAACTAAAGGGGGGGTACTGGTGGGGACGGGGGGGGTAGGGTGGAGGGGAATGAAAGGGGGACTAGAACAACTGTAACAGCATAATCAATAAGAAATTTTAAAAAAAAAGGACACACCAAGGCACATTGTCATTAAGTCACCCAAAATTAAATATAAAGAGAGAATCTTAAAAGCAGCAAGAGGAAAGGAGACAGTTACCTACAAAGGAATGCTTATAAGACCATCAGCTAATTTCTCAAAAGAAACCTGACAGACAAGAAGGAACTGGAAAGAGTATTTGAATTCATGAAAGGCAAGGACCTACATCCAAGATTACTCTATCTAACAAAGCTGTCATTTAGAATGGAAGGGCAGATAAAGTGCTTCCCAGATAAGGTCAAGTTAAAGGAGTTCATCATCACCAACCCCTTATTATATGAAATGTTAAAGAGACTTATCTAGGAAATTGAACATCAAAAACTATAAACAGCAAAATGACAAAAAACTCACAACTATCAGCAACAGAACCAAAAAAAAAAATAAAACAATGAAAACAAAAACTAAACACACAGTGGAACAGAAACAGAATCAGAGAAATGGATATCACATGGTGGGTTTTCGGGGGGGAAGGTACAGGGAATATGAAGCATAGTTGGGCATAAAAGTGGATGAGGAGAGGTTAAGAATGGTATAGGAAACAGAGAATTCAAAGAACGTATGTGTACAACCCATGGACATGAGCTAAGGGGAGGACTGTTGGAGGGTTGGGGGTGCAGGGCGGAGGGGGGAAAAACTGTAATAGCATAACCAATAAAATATACTTAAACAGTAGATTTAATATATCTGAGGCCCTTCTTTATGATTTCCAATGTTTACCACTTAAATACTTTGAATTTCTATTTAGAAATAGCTTTCATTAAATAGTATTTTAAAGTTGTGTAAAAAATACACTATAAAATGCAAGATCTGCCCCTTCTAATTATGGAGACGGTTTCCTTGACCCGCGAACAGGTACAATTCCGTGAGTCTCGGCCTTGCCTTGTGGGGCGTTCTCGGAGTCTCTTGCCACTGGGACGTGCTGGGATCACTGGCATTTTGCTTAGCTCTAAACTATAAACAGATGGAACTTTACCACTCCTTGCCATTTTTTTGCTTTTTACTTGGCAAGTGTTTTAAAAAAGGTCTGAAAGGAAAAGGGTGAGTGGCTTTTAAATACCGGAATTGTAACAATTCAGAGAATTTATGTGGCAGACTTACCTGGAGGAAGGTAGTCTTTTGCCTTATCTTTGGTGATTTCTTATTACTGTGTTGGCTAAGGGGTGAGTGGGAAGAGAGATTAAGTCATGTTCTTTGTCATTTAAAATTTTTCTAACTAGAAAAATATTTTGATCAATGTACACTTACTGGAGGTAGCGTGGGTTGGTTTGTTACGGCACTGATGAAGGATTTCATCCATTTAAGAGCATGTTAGATTATATTCTAATTAGAAATACGTCCTGATTTGACGTTTTTCTTCATGGCTGCATAGGAATGGCATCTAAATTAAATGTTAATTAGGATGATGATGGTTTTTTTGGTGGAGAAGTGCACATCTCAATGGTTTTGAATTTCTTCACTCTGATTTGAGTAGATTCCTATCTTAAACCTGTATCAGTGGCGCAGATTTATCATGACTCTCCATTTGCATTTGTTATATTTAGTGAGATGGAGCTTGATTTCTCAGAAGTATTAACCTCTCCCTGTCTTGTCGGTTGCCTTTGTTTTTCTTCCAGGTTTGTATTGTTAATTAAGCTGGCTGGCACTGTGGTGGCTTCCTTCATTCTCTGCTGGCTGCCGTTCTTTCCAGAGAAGGAGCAAACCCTGCAGGTTCTGAGGAGGCTCTTCCCAGTCGATCGTGGGTTATTCGAGGCATGTTTAAAAACTCCTCTCACCCCTTTCTGCTCCCTTTCCTGTGACCTCTGGGATTTCCTGTAGAAGACATGCAGGGAATAGTAACTTTAGCTCCTCTCTCCTCGCAATCATTCCTTGCCAATGATTTAATCCAGTTTATAATCTCTAGCTCAGCTGGCATGTTCAGCTGGCATTACATGCATGGTAATATTTATGGCATCATGAGATCTATAATTCAATTATACATTTTTTTGTAATGAAATAGGGTTCATAATGAAAGACAGTGTGAGAAGTTGCAGCTACAGCCCTGGCTTGGTAGCTTTCTTGGTTTACAGCGTCATCCTAAATGATAAGGTTGTGGGTTCAACCCCCAGTCAGGGCACATACATGAAGCAACCAGTAAATGCATAAATAAGTGGAAAAACTAATTGATGTCTCTTTCTTTCCCCCTTTCTCTCTCTGAAATCAATAAATATATTAAAAAATGGCTTATATTCTTTTTTTTGGTCTTAGGAAATTATTAAACTAATAATCATGTTTCCTTCGATAGCTCTCATAATTCCTTATGAGATATATAAATATAACCTTCACCCATAGTAATTATTAATGAGAGTCTTTCATTTCATTTAATGCCAGCTTAATCACTCTTGTTAAACTTTTATTACACGGATAATTTGATGACTTAGATTTAGTAATTAAATTAAACAAACCATTTTTCTGAAACAAAAAGGCCTTTAATAAAGTCTGACAGAGACAGCATATTTATAGATAATTTGCTTTTGAATAAACATTTCTTTTAAAAAGAGTTAGAAAAGTCTATGTATCTTCCTAGTTTTTGAATCTGTAAATCGGATCTGTGAGAGGATGGAACCAGCAGTTTGAGAGACTTGAGAGCATCTGGTTTTTGTGAAGGAAGAATGTGTGACTTACATGTCAGTGGAGATGCTGCTGCTGCTGCTGATGATAACTAATCACTGTTATTATCACCATCGTTAGGTGCCAGACACCTCTCATGTGATTTTATTTGATCCTTACAGTGGCTCCAAGGTAGCTACTGTACCCACTTTACATACCGGAAAACTGAGGTCATATAGTTAGTGTGTGGCAAAGCTGTGATTTGCACTTTGAACATTGTGCTCCTCACTTTATATTTTTCTAACCTCAACTCATACAAAGTTTAATTCTCTCTGTGAGCTTCCTGGTTATTTGCCTTGCCTTCCATTTCAAAAATGGTGTTTATCACGATAATTATAAAAATGAGTATCTCATAATTGTTTGACGGTGTTGCTCGCCACCTCCATTCACTTGCTGCTCTCCGAGTCCGAAGAGCATGTTCTTTGATCCAACCGAGGGAAGGAGGACGGTGCAGCTGTCCGGCCACGGCCACTTTCTTCACGTTAGGCCCGCACAGCTGAGAGTCGGCAGCTGTGTGGAGGACGGGTTTTGCGAACAGAGAGCTGTAGTCACGAGTGTAATTTTGAACGTGATCCTGGCACAACTGCTGATGTCTTTAAACTTGCTGGTGTATTAGCAATTCCCTCTCGTCATTGCTAGTAGCAAGGCAGTTATATTAGATAATTTCAGATGTGGGATAACATGGGTCACATAATATGTGTTTTAAAAATTAGGAAAACAAAAGATTTCTGGAAAAATTCCCAAAGATGAATAACTTGATTATTTAGGGATAGTGTGCTGTTCTTTGAGAAGTAGTGTTTCTTGGGAACATCTAGATTATGGTTGGCTAGTGATTTAGATCAATTTCCATTGCAAAAAGATGAAAAGTGCTAGTCTGTGTGTGTATGTATGCCTTACTTGGAAAGTTCAATCAACTTAGTTATAAAATTCTGAATACAGTTTATTTAGAGGTTATGGGCTGTAGGTGGTGGAGTTTAATATTTCTTTCAATTATATGAGAATGTAAAACTAATAAGACATCTCTTCTAAGGATAAAGTAGCCAATCTCTGGTGCAGCTTAAGTGTCTTTCTGAAGGTCAAGGATATTTTGCCCCGTGACACCCAGATAATAATCAGGTAAGAGACACAAAGTTTGTATATAGTGTTTTATATGCTTTTCTCTAAAAGTGTTATGGTAATATCTTACCTACCTGGCATTATTAGGGAATTTTCCACATAACGTAATACAACTCCTCTATACAACACTCTTTTATTTGAAATACTTTACGTGAAAATCTTCCTGGATTGTACCTGCTTGCCTCTTCCTTGAACAGAGCATACGCTCAGCATGAGTGAACATGAAGAGTCCTGATTTTCAGCGGTGTACAAGTCAGGGTCCAACTAGAGGAGGAGAGTGAGTAGGTCTGTGTGTGTGTGTCCCCGCATGCACAAATTTGCTGTGAGGAAATAGCTTATACAGTTGCGGGGGCTGGCTAAGCAAACTGGAAGTCCACAAGGCCTCAGGAAGGCGTATTTAAGGGGAAGGAGGAGTGTGCTTCAGACCCAGCTGCTGTGAAGAATCTCTGAGCTTAGGGCAGGACTAAGCCCTTGAAAAGGGTTTCCAGCTGATTGAGTCAGGCGCACCCTAGACTGTCTTCCTACAGATTAACTAAAAATCAACGGATGAGGCACATTTATTAGATCTGCAAAGTCTCCGAGCAGCACCAAGGTTAAGTGTGTGTGTGCTACAAAATGGGCGCTGCCTTCCTCTGTCCTTGAGTTCTTTCAGGAAGGTCCCTTGTAGCCCATGTAACAAGGACTGTAGTTCAGCTTAGACAAGTTGACACACCAGGAGGCCACCACAAGGGGAAAATCCGTTACTGTGTTGTGTTACAGTCCTTTTTCCCAGGGCTCTCAAGGGCTGTTTGCCATGGTACCTCATGGCTCCAGATGGCTCCGCTCATTGAGTTCTTTTTCCCCCTGCCCACCAGCCACCCCCAGGAGAAGTTCTAGCAGCTTCCCACTCCCTTTCTAACTTGTTAATTTTTTATTTTCCATGGGCTTAAAAGTCAGATAATCAGCCTTTGTGAAATGAGGCCAGAGAGAGAGAGCTTTCTTGCTTGCTTATTTATTTATTTATTTACTTACTTACTTATATCCTCACCCGAAGACAGGCTTATTGATTTCAGGGAGAGGGTAAGGGAGGGAGAAAGAGAAAGAGAGAAGTATTGATGTGAGAAAGATACATTGATCAGTTGCCTCTTTGGAAGTGCCCCGACTGGGAACTGAACCTGCAACCCAGGCATGTTCGGTGTGCTCTGACCTGGAATCCAGCCTGCAACCTCGGCTAGTGCCAGAGAGATTCTCTAATGAGTACATTTAATGAATGTTTCTGTTACAAATATAGCATTGTCTCTTTTTACCTGGCTATATTTTCTTATTTTGAGTGTTTGATAATTGATATTTAGCTATCTTTGTATCTTTTCTATAAATGATACTAATTAGTAAAATAATATAAGCAACATTTAAAATTATAATGTTCTGTATTATAAAATCATGTATATATTAAAGAGTGTACATGTTTCATTGTAAGGGTTTTATTTAAATGTTTAGTCTTAAATTGAAAAAATGAAAATAAACTTTAATTTGAAAGCAATTTAAGTTGATAAGTAATGTGATCCTTACTCTACAAAGATAACAAATGTTTTTAAATTAATTTTTTAGCTTTTGTTTTACATTTTTGAGCCTGCTTCCTGCGTGTATAAAATTAACACTCCAGCCCTGTCCCAAAGCATTCAGATTTTCTCTGGTAAGTTTCTCATTACTTTAGGTACTTAATTCTTGCAGCATCTGATCTTTTAAAAATAGAGAATTATTTTCTTGCTTTGAACAGCTTCCTTGAATTGGGACATTCATTTATTTGACCAACATTTGTTGAGTGTCTGACATACGTAGGTGCTGCGTTGGGCACTAGGTCGAGCAATTAGAATCTTTCAGTTCATTCAACAGATAAATATTTAAGTGCTGTTTTGTATTATTAGTCAATGAGGGAACGCAAAGAAGAAAACAATGTGATAGACATATACTTAAATAATTTTGTGCTAAAGTAGGTGGCATTAAGTTCTATTTGGTACAAATTAGGTGCCATGATTGTGCAGGAAAAGTAGATATTAACTACTTAGGGTGCAGATGTTAGGCAGCCTTTTAGAGCAAGTGGGAATGGAGCCAAATTTTGAAAGCTGGGCAAGATTTGGAAAAGAAGGTTATATAGCAGAAGAGAATTCAAGACAGGAGGAAGAGTTAGAAGGTACAGAGATGAGGAAAGATAGGGAATGCTCTAGAACAGTTACTGAATAATGAAATTTGTGTGATGTGTACATGTATGTGTGTGTGTATGTGTGTGTGTGTGTTGAAGACAGGATATAGTGAGAGGTAAGTGTCAGAAAGACCATGGCCTGGCTGGTGTGGCTCAGTGGACTGAATGCCAGCCTGCAAATCAAAGGCCACCAGTACAGTTCCCAGGCACATGCCTGGGTTGTGGGCCAAGTGCCCAGCTGGGGGTATGCAAGGGGCAACTGATAGTTGTATCTGTCACACATTGGTGTTTCTCTCCCTCCGTTCCCCAGTTTCTAAATAAATAAAATCTTTTTTTTTAATTTTTCATTTTGATGAAGTTCGATTTATTTATTTGTTTGTTTTTAAAGATTTTATTTATCTTTATAGGGGAAGAGAAGGAGAGAGAGAAATATCAGTGTATGTTTGCCTCTGGTGCGCCCCCTGCTGGGAACTGGCCTGCAACCCAGGCATGTGCCCTGACTGGGAATCGAACTGTGATCGTTTGGTTCACAGGCCCGCACAAAATCCACTGAGCTACACCAGCCAGGGCTCTAAACAAATAAAATCTTTAAAAAAAAAGGATCAAATTGTGTAAGAGCTTGAACGTTGGGTTGAGTAAGTTGGAGTTGGATTTGTATGCAAGAAGAGCTTAAAAAAATATTTTTAAGTGTAGGAGGGGACAGGTTTCTGTTTCGGGAAGATGACTTGTGCCAGTTTGAAGATGCTTTGGTTCCCCATGCTGGACTTTAGGGAATCCTCTGAACGGGCTTACAGACTCCTCCAGGTTGTATTCCCATGGCACTGACCGTTTTGTTCCTGTGCGCCCTGGCCCATAAAATGACATTGAAAAATATCTTCTAATATGTCAAGAAAATGTGGCTTACACAAACAGTAAGTCAGCAGGCTTTATAAGGGGACAACACTTTAGAAGTCCTAATTTGTTTCAGTTCCGTGACTGCCACGTTACATACATTGCATTCTAAAAGCAACCGGAACATAGCATACCAGTGAACTATTTCCAAAGTGCATGAGTACCACAGTGTAAAACTGTGTACCACAGTTTCATGTTCTTCTCTTTTCGGTTAACTTTTCATTGACAATTCCTGTTATTTCACTTTGTGAATGAACTCTGAGTACACTGTCATTTACAGCTAATATTCTACAGGACTTGTGGATCAGGAGGGATGTGGTTAGTAATGCTCTGATGGCTTCCATAGGCCTCACTTGAAATACTGGCAAGCGTACTCAAGATTGTGCTATTTTTCTAGGAAGTAGCATGCTAAATACAGGTATATTTCTAAGATAATGGAACAGAATTTCAGGGTTTGAGTAACGGTGGCAGTGCTAGAGATGATTTACTTTTAGGGATTAAAAGCCAGATAGAAACATTTTCTTTCTCTTGAGTTCCCTAATTTTATTCTATTTGCTATGTTTTAATACCAGCCATTCTGTTTAAAAAACTAAAAAAGACTTATGTTAATGAGTTTGGTGATGTTTTGAATTCTTATTGAATACTTCTGAGAGCTTTAAAACATTTCTAATTTTCACTCAAGTGTTTTCCTTTCCATGAAGATGATATTATCCTCAGTTCCAATCTCAGTGTAAGTCTATAATTGAGGTAGTCGATAGTATGAATACTAATTATTTATAGCAGCAAAGTGATTTACATTTAGTTTACTCAGGTAGTGTTTATGGAGTTCTCTCTAATGTGTTAGGTCCTTTTCTAGGTACTGGCATGTAAGCGAATGGCAGTTAACACTTCTGCTCTATTAACCGGGGCCTTTTACGGTAGTGGCAGAATTACAGTAAACAAAATGCATGCGCGAACAAGAGAATTCCTGGGAGTAATGAGGGCCAGGAGGGAAACTGTTGTGTGAAAAGAATCCTGGTGGGCTGTGGTGAGGAGGCACTGCTGTAGGCTGAGTAAGGGCAGGCCTTTCCAGGGAAGTGACGACTGAGCCCAGACCAGAATGGCCGACCAGAAAGAGCCAATCACAAGGAGATCTGGGCTCTGACTTGACCAAAACAACTTTCTCCTCGAGGCAGGAACACATCTGGCATGTTTGAGGCATAAGGGCACAGGTGTGAAGTGCTGGTGGACAGTCATAGACTGGAAGAGGAAGGCAGGGCCCAGATCATGTAGGAGTGTGGATTTTATTCTAAGTGAAGTAGCCGAAGAAATTTAAACAATTTACGTGATCTGACATGGTGGCAGAGTGGAGAGTGGATTGGAGGGAGGCCAGAGTGTTCCTGATTAGGAGGTGAGTGCAGTAGCCCAAGAGAAAGGAGGGGCGCTCAGCAGAGGGAGTGGAGAAAAGTGGGCGGGTACTGTGTTAGGAGGTGGTGTAGAGGGTTTGCTGATGGGTTGGATGTGCAGCAGGTACAGGGTAGTGAATGACCCACGTTTTTTGCTTAAACAACCAGATTGGATGTGTATGATATTCAGAGTATAAACTTCTAGAAATAGATCTAAGTAATTTTTTACTTAAAACCCCAAATAACAAATGCTTACTATAGTTTAGTAAAGTGCACATTTCATTTCTTTTTTCTTTTTCTTTCTTTTAAAATTAAATTTGTTGGGGTAACATTGATTAATAACATTACATAATTCTCAGGTGTAGAAGATTGTAATCCAACACTTGTGCACTCTATTGCACGGTCACCACCCAAAGTCTGGTTTCATTCCCTCACCATATGTTTGACCCCTTTACCCAGGTCAGCCCCTCCCAGCCCCTGTCTCCTCTCGTGACTCCCATTCTGTTGTCTGGTATCTATGAGTTTGTTTTGTTAGCTTATTATTTTTTTGTTTTATGTTCCACATATTGGTGAAATAATATTTATATAAATGAAATGATTATAAAACATTTAATATGTTTTATTGAAATGCATGACTTAAAAACATTGAAATAGATTTGTTTTGCCAGTTTCAGATTTTGACCTTCTTGTCCTTCCTGCTTTTTAATTTAAATTGTCACAGTCCAAGGGAGGATGCAGGTGTAATTACTGTGTCTGAAGCATTTAGTAGTTTTGTTTATTGATTACAGTATCAGTGAGTTTATTTTAGATAGTTAAGTATAGTGTAATCAGTTTTTTCAAAAATATTTTGATTATATATTTGAATAAAATATTTTGCATAATAGTGTTTTATATATATATATATTTCCTTCTAGATGGAAGATACATTAAACTTTAAAGTTTTAGTTAAAGTTATTTTTATTCAGATTCATAATTAAATTGCTATCATATTCTGTAAGTTGTTTTATCTCATTTTTCTACTTTTTCCCATTTTTCTCAAAGGTTACCTGTGCGCTGTCATTCTTTTTATTTTCTTTCCATGTACACGAAAAGTCCATTCTCTTGGTATCATTGTAAGTAAAACTGTTTCTAGTGTTTTATTTATTTATTATTTATTGTGTGTTTATAACATATAACTGAATTTATTACTCATATAAAATTACCTAAGTGCAAAACAACTACACAAATGTTACATAGTTGAATAAAATTATTTAAGTCAAATTTTTTTCAGAATGATGATCTCTTACAATTTTACTTCTTTATAAACTGAAAATATTTCATAGAATTATTACTGACATACTTATTTCTCTTATTTCTAGAGAGGGGGAAGGGAGGGAGAAAAGAGATGGAAAGAAGCATCAGTGTATGGTTGCTTCTCGAGCGCCCCCTAATGGGGACCTGGCCCACAACCCAGGCATATGCCCTGACTGGGAATTAAACTGGTGACCCTTTGGTTGGCAGGCTGGCACTCATTCCACTTAGCCACACTAGCCAGGGCCCGTTTCTTCATATATTTTCTATATGCTAATAAAAATATGTCTCCCAAAGCGGCTTTCCTTGGATTGGAGTGTTTGTTGTGGTTACCTTTTTCATTTCCATGTCTGTTCAACAGTCGTCTCTCTCCAGTCGCCTCTCTAGTGGCTTTCATATGTTGCCTCCTTTCTATTTGTTTTGCAGAACCTTTGGCTATACCCTATTTGCAATCTCTAACCAAACTACTTTGTTTTAGGACCATTAAATTTTCTTTCTTAGTCTTCACAGAAATTGGGTGACAGTTACGGGTATATTATCCCAATATTCAAAGAGTATTCAATATTTGCCCAGAACACATTGGAATACTTGAATCCCAACCCACAGCCACTAAATCCCTCACCCTATTTGCTGGGCTCCTGTGGAAGATAACGTACAGAGTGACCAATGACAAATGGAAGGTAGAGCTTTGGACTAAAGCCTCGGTGCATAGCTTTATAGGAAGGTGGGCTGGCCTATGTGGAAGGCTTCTTTGCTCTGAACAAAATAGCCTCATATCATTGCAGTCTGGGAGGGCAGCTTGATTTCATCTTCCCAAGTCTGGACCTGAGTTACCACCGTTGTATGAGGCTAGCCTGACTGTACACAAATCCCTAGTGCCAGGGGATGGAACTGTGGAGAGGTGTTGCTTTTAAAGGTGTACATTTTCCCTAGAATTTCTACCCCATAGAAATGTAGCCCGTTCAGTGACCTGTAATTTGACCATTCAGATTAGCTTTTAGGCCCCGATTACTAGATAATACTTGTAAGAGTTTTTTTCAACTACTTAACAATGTAAAAGATTATTATTATTTCAATTACACATGAGAAAAAAGGTTAAATTAATCATTTATTCAAGCACACACAGTAAGTAAGTGGCAGAGATGAGACTAGGTCTTCTGTCCAGCCCCCTTCTTGAACATCATTGCCACAGGTGAACCTAGAAGGTAAAGGGACTAGGGGCTGATGGTAAGAAAGTCACAGTTTGTACTTGCGCGACCCTAAACAGCTCTTTGGTAAAGTCAGTGGCTCCATTTATTGGCATTACACTTCCTGTTCCTACACTCTTGCTCTTTTCACGTAGCCTCTTCCTATTGGTTTTTCGTTTATTCAGCCATCATCACCTGTTCCCTTTAGAGTTCTTTTTTACATCTGCTGCCCTCTCTTCAGTGGCAGAGGATGAGCCTCTGTTTCAACTTGAGTTTTTAACTTGGCTGAGTGCTGTGTAACATGGAGGATCAGAAAAAAGAAGTCTGAAAACCACTGTACTGGGAATTCACTTCATGTTCACCGAGTAAGATAAAATACATGAAGTGGCTCTCTTTCTCTGTTTAGATCCACTTATGTGATCTTTTTTGTAAAGCCACTGTTTGTGTGACCGAGAAAAAGTATTCTGTTGGTAGACTGAATTCTGGAAGAGCACCTTTCCAGTTATCTTAAGTAGTTGACACCTCTCTGCTAGACTCACTTGGTTTGGATTGATAGTTACAAAAAAATGAATCAGTCCATTTGAAGACCTTGCTGGCTGTTTCCAGTTTTTGTTTTTTTAGCTACCCTGAAAATAAGACATAAAATGTGTTTATATTTTTTTACAAGAGTTGAAATTATATTCTATAAGATTAAACTATTTTTCTTTATCATTTTAGACCTGTCTGCTTAGTTTTAAGTGAAACTCCGTTTATGTCTACTTGGTTTTTACTTGTGTCAACATTTAGGTGAGTAAAACCAATGTCCATATAATATTTTCAGTATAGTTCTCATAAACTCATTAAAGCGTTTTTACGGAGTGATTATGGTTTCTGGTTTCCCTTACAGTATGCTCCCTCTCCTATTGAAGGATGACCTCCTAATGCCCACGGTTGTAACAGCGATGGCGTTTTTCATAGCTTGTGCAACTTCCTTTTCCATTTTTGAAAAGACTTCAGAAGAAGAACTACAGCTGAAATCCTTTTCCATTTCTGTGAGGAAACATCTTCCATGTTTTACATTTCTTCCCAGAATTATACAACATTTGGTACGTTGTTCAGTTTTTAAGAAATGGTACTTAGCTAATGGCGTTACCACATTGTCTTGATTACTATAGCTTGGTATTATAGTTGGTTGTGGTTTTTTTTAAGATTTTATTTTCAGAGAGAGGGGAGGGAGAGAGACAGAGAGGGGAGAAACATCGATGTGTGAGAGAAACATCTGCGTGAGACAGACACACCGATCGGGGTGGTTGTCTCTTGCACGTGCCCCAACCAGGGACTGGGCCCGCAACCCAGGCATGTGCTCTGATCAGGAACCGAACTGGTGACCTTTTGCTTTGTGGGATGATGTCGGCTGAGCCACATCAGTCAGGGCTGCTACTTAATCCTTAACACCTTACCTCATTGCCCTGGCTAGAATCTCTAGTACAACGGTAAATACAACAAGCAGCAAGAGTGGACACTTCTTCTTCCTGATTTCAGGGGGAAAGCGTCCAGTTTTTCACTTTAACTAAGGTGTTAGCTGTGAGTTTTTAAATTGATGGCCTTTACTTGGTTAGGAAGTTCTTCTATTCCTAGTTCCTTTATTTGTTTAATTAATTATTGTTTTTTTTTTTAGCATAAAAGGCTATTGGATTTTGTCCTGCTTTTTGTGTATTTAATGATATGGTCATGTGATTTTCCCCCTTCTTAATGTGGTATGCTGCATTGTTTTTTATGTGGAACTAACCTTGCATTCTTGGGGTAAGTCCCACGTGATCATGCTGTACAATCGTTTTTATGTGCCACTGGTTTGGGTTTGCCAGTATTTTGTAGACTTTTGGTCTATATTCATAAGTGATATTGATGTGCAGTTTTCATTTCCTGTGATGTCTTTTCCTGGTTTTGGTGTCAGGATTGATACCAACATCTGCCGAACGGAATGACTGGGCAGTGCTCCACTTCTACTTTTTGGAAGTTTATGAAGCCTGGTATTAATTCTTTTATAAACATTTGGTATATAACTCATCAGTGAAGCCATCTGTGCCTGGGCCTTCCCTTGCGGGACTTTAAAAATGATTAATTCAATCTCTTGTTATAGGTCTATTTAGACTTTCTGTATTTCTTGAGATAGTTGTAGTGGTGTATCCATTTCATCTGTTATCTAATTTGTTGGCTTATAGTTGTTCATAATAGTCCTGTATCATTTATTTTTATTTTTATGTCTGGTAAGGAGTAGTGTCTGTTTTTCATTCCTGATTTTGGGAATTTGTGTCTTCTCTTTTTCTTCCTTGGTTAGCCTCGCTAGTTTGTTGGTTTCATTGATCTTTTTACAGAACCAACCACTGTTCACTGGTTTTCTCTATTTTTTGGGGTATTTTTAAATTTAATAATTTTTAATTGCATTTTTATTACCATTTAGTCCTCATGTGCTCCCTCCCCCCATAATCAGCACACTATTGTCCGTGTCCATGAGTTTTTTCCTTTTGTTCAATCCCTCCACCCCCAACCCCTCTCCCCGAACCCCCATAGCTGTCATCCTGCTCCCTGAGAGTCTGTCTATTTCCCTTGTTCAGTTTGTTCACTAGATTCCTTATATGAGTGAAACCATACGGCATTTGTCTTTCTCTGACTGGTGTATTTATTTCATTGATTTTGGTTCTACTTTTATTATTATTTTTTGCTTGCTTTGGGTTTGGTTTACTTTTCATCCAGTTTCTTAAAGGTCAGGTGATTGATTTGAGGACAACCTTCCATTTTTACACAGGCATTCAAATCCACAAATTTCCTTTGGTGCCATGGTTAAGTAGCATTCCATATATTTTGACATACATGTTGTATTTAATTAAAATATAGCCCATTTTCATTGTGATTTATTCTTTGGCTCATAAATTGTTAAAGAATTTGTTGTTTCCAGCCCTGGCTGGTGTAGCTCAGTGGATTGAGTGCCATACTGCAAAGCAAAGGGTCATTGGTTTGATTCCCAGTCAGGGCACATGCCTGGGTTGTAGGTCCAGTCCCCAGGAGAGGGCGCATGAGAGGCAACCACACATTGATATTTCTCTCCCTCTCTTTCTCCTTCCCTTCCCCTTTCTCTAAAAATAAATAAATAAAATCTTTTTAAAAAGCAATTTGTTGTTTCTAAACATTTGGGGATTTATCAGATTTCTTCCTGTTTTGTATTATAATTTAATTTTGTCATGTTTGGAGAACATACTCTGTATTATTTCAGTATTTTTAAATGTATTGACTTTGTTTTGTGTTCATTTCTCTTTAATTTCAGAAGGGTACTTTTGCCAGAAACTGGTCTTTTTCTTTGAGCAATTTGAATGTCATCCATCCCAGTGCCTTTTGGACTCCACGTTTTCTCATGAGAAGTCAGCCATTAATCTTATTGAAGATAGCTTTTGCATGTTCTTGGTTTTGGATGCCGAATAGATATCTAAATGGAGATATTAAGGAGCATTTGGATATGTGCATCCGGAATTTAGGGGAGGTGTAGACTGGAGACAGTAACCCGAGTCTTCGGCATATAATAATTAGTCACGTCACTGAATGAGCTCACCAAAGGTGTGAGTATAGATTAACAGGAGCAAGTCCTGAGCCATGGGATAGGTCAGTGCATGGAGATAGGGGACATGAGAAGGAACGTGCAAAGCTGCTGAGAAGGGTTAACTAATGAGATGGAGAGACACCAGGAATATGGTGTCATGGAAGCCAAGTGCTTCCAGGATATGGAGTGTTGTGCTATTTTGGATGCTATTGGAAGATCATAAGGCAATAATAATTGACCACTGGACTTAGTGCTGTGGTTATTGTGGGTCTTTGATCAGGGCAATTTGATGAGAGTGGTTGGGGTGAACACCTAATTGGTGTGGCTTCACTAATGAGTGGAGGAATTGGATGCACCAAATTATAGCCAGTTCTTTTGGGAAACATTGCTATAAATGGGAGAAAATGGGAGGGATTTTAGCATGTATTTTAATACTGGTTCAAGTTCATAGTACCATGACATTCCAATTAGTCCCATATTTCTTGGGAGTTTAATTTGATGATTTCATTCAGAAATTTTCACTCCCCACAAGGCTGACTCAGGGATTTTTACTTTGAAGGATACTTGTAGCTTATTTATACCTTTGCAAGGCTTTTTGGCTTCCATCCATCCCACTCTTCCATCTGGAATGATCACTGTACTATTCATAGTACAGCCATGAAAGCATCTTTTAGGGTTCTGTTTACATCCTGCCTCCTTCATGAAAGTCACTGACTACTGTTCCTTACTGCTTGCTTTCTACATTCACTTAAGGAGCTTCTGTGTACTTACGTGCCATGTTAGGGATAAAATAAGAGTTGGCTGGTCCTTGTCTTAAAGGAGCTCAGAGTATAGAGCTATACTGTCTAATACAGTAGCCAGTAGACACATGTAGAAATTGAAACTTAGAAAAATTAAATGCAATACAAAATGTAGCTCCTCATTTGCAGCTGGTACATTTCAAATGCTCAGTCAGTAGTCACATGTAGTTAGCACCTACCCTTTTGGGGTGCACAGACATTTCCATCATTGCAGAAGTTCTACCATACAGGGCACTAGTCTGGAGAAACCTGACTGCTCTGTAATTCTAGTGAATGCAGTTACTTCTCCTCATTTTGGCATTTAATAAAATGTGACCTTGTGATTTTATTTAACTAGTTCATGTATTCCCCTAATTAAATGGAAAACTCTCTTGAGGCCAGAGGACATTTTCTTGCACATGCATCACCATGCTTACTTACTGCAGCACTAGCTCATTGAGAGCGTAGTGAGCATGACATACAGTTTTCCATTTGCCACGGATAACTTTTCCACAAAGGGGTTCTTAGATTAGTTTAGAATTTTATGTCCTGTAGGAACTTGGGGTGCTGGAGCATGCTGTGAATTTAACCCTGATTAGCAATACTACCTGTTCCAGGAAACTTTCTTCAGTGCCTGGGCGGTACGAAGTACAAGACAGGTGTTCTCAGGCTTTCCCTATACACGGGAATCACTTAAATTTTAAAAAATCCTGAAGGCCTACCCCAGAAACTCTGATTTAATCGGTCTTGGGTGTGGCATGGGCATTGAGATATTTAACCCCAGTTGATTCTAACTTGCAGCCTAAGTTGAGGTCCATCATGAAGAGATGGTACCCCCCAACCCTCCCCTTCAATTCTGCTGACTTATAGCTGTAATCAGTGTTACCGGTACATTTAACTTAAGTTACTGAATAATGCTTCTTTTTCCTCCTTACAGTTTCTTATGTCAGTAATCACAATGGTCCTTCTGACACTGATGACAGTAACGCTGGATCCTCCTCAGAAATACCCAGACTTATTTTCTGTATTGGTGTGCTTTGTGTCCTTCCTGAAACTCCTGTTCTTCTTGGTGTACTTTAACATTGTAATCATGTGGGATTCCAAAAGTGGAAGAAATCAGAAGAAAGTCAACTAGCTAAATCCCCAAATGTGAAAATGTTAGCAGTGCTAAACGGTTTTGTGAATTTTTCGCTATGTATAAATAAAATCATTTTGAGAATTATATAATTATAGGGAAGAAAATTCCCTAAGATTCCATCCCAGCTAACTTACAGACCCACCTAAGCAACTTTTCCATATGAATGGATGGTCTTGGGTGATTTTTCACAACTTCCTAAATCCTCTCAACCAAGCAATAGCTGGCCTCAGTGTGACCCAGGCCTGGCACGGGCAGCAGTCAGCCTAGATTCACAGCTTGGCTTTGCCTGGGAATCTTCAAGCCCTGCACAAGTAGCAGCCTTCTCATATTGCTTTGTAGCTCGGGCAGGGTGGCCCCTGGCAAAACACACATGATAGCTGATCTTGGCCTGCACCATCTGGGAAACCCCAGGGCCAGGGTACTCAGTGGACAGCTACAGACCATGTTGGAGCACCACCACCCTGCCCCTGCACAGCTGATCCTCTACATAGGGCAGAGGTAGATAGTAAGTGGTCACAGACAATCCATGCAGCTGCCTGGCCTGGATAAATCCTTCCCATTGATCTGCCAACAGCCAGTGCTGTACTACAAGAGGAAGGTGTACTCAGCCCACACAAAGGGTGCACCTCGAATACCCAGCTTGGGTGAAAAGGGGAGTCTGTGCCACTGTACCCTATAGGACACCTACTACAATAGGCCACACTACCAAGACACAGAGTCAAAGAAGTTCTACCTAATACATAGAAATAAATATAGTGAGGCTGCCAAAATGAGGAGACAAAAAAACATGGCCCAAATGAAAGAACAGATCAAAATTCCAGAAAAACAGCCAAACAAAACGGAGATAAGCAATCTATCAGATGCAGAGTCAAAAACAGTGGTTATAAGGGTGCTCAAGGAACTTAGTGAGGACCTTAACAGCATAAAAAAGATCCAGTCAGAAATGAAGGATTCATTAATACAGGGAAACAACAGTACAGTGGATGAAGCTGAGAATCAAATCAGTGATTTGGAACATAAGGAACCAAAAAACAACCAGTCAGAACAAAAAGAAGAAGAAAAAAAAATCCAAGGATAAATAGCCTGTGGGACAACTTTAAGCAATCCAACATTTGCTTCATAGGGATGCCAGAAGAAGAGAAACAGCAAGAAATTGGAAATATGTTTGAAAAAATGAAAGAAAACTTCTTTGATTTGGTGAAGAAATAGACATGCAAGTCCAGAAAGCATGAAGAGCCCCAAACAAGATGAATGCAAAGAGGCCCACTCCAAGACACACTATAATTAACATGCCAAAGGTTAAAGAGGAGGGGGGTGTGTGGGAGAATGGGTGAGAGGTAAGGGGATTAAGAAGCACAAATAAGAAGTTACAGAATAGCCATGGGTATGTAAAATACAGTACCAAAGAACTTACATGCATGACCCGTGGACATGAACAAGGGTGTGGGGATTGCTTAAGGGAATGGGGGTATTTGGTAGAGGGGCAAAGGGATAAAAGCCAGGACAACTGTAATAGCATAATCAAAATATAATTTAAACATATCTAGAAATACACTGAATTTAATGGGAGAATTTAGCCCCTTTTAAAAGGAAATTACTGATTTTGATATTTAAATGTAATTTTATTTACATTTTACAATAGAATGCAAGTAATGGGTTTTTGTTCTTTAGGATTTATATTGCTGGTATTAAATTTGTGATAATGTTTTAAACTCCTATTAGAAGGCAATTTAAACTGCTTGAAGTCTGAACATGCCTTATTACATGTGCAAATTCGAATTTTTTAACAAGGCTGAGATTAAACTTTGTTATTTATTTCCAGAATGGCTGGTTTACTGTAATGCAATTAAACAATGAATTTTCCTGAATTGGAATCTAAGTGGTTTGAGTGAAGTCTTCTTATTACTCATGAGCACCGGGTTCTAAATTTCCAGGACTGTTGAAGTTAAATGCCCTTATGCAGCATTTCATCCTTGTGTTCCTTTTTGTTGTAACATGGTTCGAGGTTCCCAGTGCCATGAGCATTGCCTCGTATCATGCTTCCTGTTACCTTAGTCCTGTTAATACTGTATCACGCTGTATTAGCAGAAGCCCCCCTTGACTCTAGTATTCAGTTGGTAAAAGTAATGTATTATATCCATGTTGTAGTTTCTCATACAAAGATGTCTTTAGTGTGTAATAAAAACAATCACTGTCCCATCGACATATATTTTTAACAAATATATTTCTTTCATAAGACGGCCATTAAAGCAAATTAAATAAATGGTAGTACATTTTAAAGCAAATGCAAGCTAAACACATACGCAAAGACAGTCTCATTTTAGACATGGACAGCTGCGGGCTGATGCAGGAAGATACGTGTTTGATAAAGGAGTGGGTTTAGACAAAGCGAAAAACAAAAATTATTTCTTTCTCAAAGTATATGTGCATAAAGACGCAAAGGGCGGGCCAGCAGAGAAAAGCAGCCTTGAATCCCTGCCGAATCAGCAGGGACATCGCTGTCCACGGTCACCATCTGTAATCAGTGTGCCCAAATGTCAGCATCTTGGCTGGTGGGTGTAGTCCTATTTATTTATTTTTTGTTGTAGCATACTTGTGTTTAACACAGGATGTTGATTTGAATCGATGAAGTTCCAATTTAGAATAACTGGAATACAGAAATATTGAAAATAAAAGTATTATATAAACAGTAAAATAGAATGCACCTATATTTAAGATATCTTACAGGTAAATTCTGTAAATAAAATACTTTCCAGATCATTTAATCTAATCTTACTGAGTTACACTGTACCTTTTATATAGACTTACCAGCAATGATCTTAAGTATCTCTGATATCAGCTAGAAATCAGTTTGAGAATCCACTTTGAACTTTGAGAAGTTTCAAAATACCAAAAATGTTCAGTGATGAATTAAGATTAAAGAAATAGGCAATTCTGTCAGCTACACCCAGGATTATAGGGCCATTTATATTTAATATAAAGACATTTAGGCTTTATAAAAATACTATTTCTCACTTTCTTCACTAATATACCCTTCTAAGTTATTCTGAAGTTCATTTCATACAAGAGGTCTGTTTCTGAGAAGTGCAGTTTTCTGTGTTGCCAATAAGCTTAGGTTTGCTTCTTAAAATGAAGAGAATAGGGTGTATGTTCATGTATCAAATATGAGACACAGAGAAGTCATTTTCTCTTTGAGCCCTTAGAGAGGGGAAAAAAATCCCCGATGTAGCATTCTGTCCAAATGATAAACCACAACTAAGTGAGTGAAACATTTACAAAAGTCAGAGCAGCCAAAGGATCCTCTCTGTTCAACAAAAAAAGAGTAAAAGATGGATAGGATGTAACTAAATAACGGTTGGAGTAACAGTGGTTTCAAGTCTCAATTGGTCTTTCTTCTGTTATGTTCATTGGAAAATCAGGGCCAAGTGTATCCGTCCCCCACCCCCATATAAACATTAGTTTTGTGTGTGGATCTTTCTGCTTTGTCCTTCATGTGGCCTCCAAGGGTGATAAAGCGAGAGTCATCTGATCTACAATGAAGAGAACTGAGAAATGATTCTTAGCAGACCCAGCTGTTCTGAAAGGCAAAAGCTTAGGATATCAAGAGGTCAAATATACAGTAACTGATTTAATAGCATTAAGCACATACCTACATAACTTGGATTACATATGAAACCAATCTACTTCTTGACCCTTTATTTCCTTATTAATGTAGGTATCTTTATATGTTTTGGCTCACAATCTAAGGTTTTCAATGCTAGAACACAATTATCCTTTTTGGTATATTTTAGGTAATGTCCTATCACAAAGGTTGTATCACACAGTATTCTGAATATTCAGCAGACACATTATCTCAAAAATCATGTTTAAATAGTCAGAGAAGGCCATGAAGTTTAATAGTTAATTGGGCTATTGTTTAGTATCTATGTCATTTAAATTAGTTTTTTTAAAACTCATTTTCCTTTTAAAGGGTGAATCTTAAATTTCTCTACATGGAAATTCAATCTTAATTTGTTAAATTTTGTTTCAGATTTTCAAATAGTATTTTTATGATACACTGAATTAAATGACATGATAATATCTTACACAAATTTCATGAAGCCTTAGGGCAAGTACCAAGGAGTAACAGCCCTCAGAGAAAAACTGTGTTACCTGGTTGTAGCGTACTCGCTGGTTCCCTCCCCCACTTTACTGGCCGACAGCACAAACATGGTGATACAAACCACCACCACACAGAAAACAGAAGTTGAAATTAATGCTTCAGAATGATTTGGAGGGGCTCATAGACTGCCCCGTAAGAAAACTCCCTTGTTTAATTTTAGTAGCCTGTGTAGTTCAGTTTAAAAACTACTTTGTATTTAAACATCTATTAAAAATGTATTCTGATATTTTATAAAAGACATAAGAATTTTAAAACTTTAAAAATATTTCTTCTCTACAATAGAAATAACTAGAGTATAATAAGTCATCCCCGTGATAGGACCTATACAATAAACTTCTAGATAAATTTTTAAGGTTTTAAAAAGAATCTTACTAATACACATTTGGGGCTTTAAATGGAAAAACTGGTCCCTAAAACCACTCACCATTAGATTTAATGAGTTTTAAAATATATAGCTTTACCAAAGGTGTCATTTTCATAAATGCTTTATTAAATCTATTCATAAATGCTAAAAGTATACAGAAGCATACATGATAAAGAATATAAGGCAAAATCCTTGTCTACATGTTACCTTACTCATTAAAGGGTCAAGAAGAAATGTATTATTTACATTGAGATTATCTACTGGTGTGTGTAGAAAGTTTAAATTAGCTGCAAGAAATTTTATCTAGACATGCACCTGCCTAGTGCTATGATCTGGTATTTACTGGGCAGATTAATTACAAACATTTCTTCTGTTCCTTTAAATATGATCAGGCAGATGCAGAAGTCGGTGTTCATAGTGAGTGCATTTCTTCTGAATGCCTGTAAGATATAAAAGGTGAATGCTATTAAATCATCAAGAATTAGTTTCCAAATTAGTATGCATGTCATACATGATGTAAGAAGTGGTTTAAACGCCTATTTACCATGTAAGTTCATATCTAGTTTAGGTAATAGTGATCTCTCAATTGCTTCTTTTAGTCTCCTAAGCAAAATTTACCTTCAGAAACAATCATCAATATGACTACTCTGACCAGCACTCTTCACTTTTGTGAATGTGGATTTTGACATACTTTTGAGTGTAAAATTTCAACATGACCTACCCAAAACACCAACATCTACATGCCTTCTGTCTATAAGCCTCAAGGGCCTTTCAGCAGGTGTTCCCTTCAACAGCTGCCCCCACTTCCCCAAAGAGAGACAGTATTTACCGACATTCCCACTCAGACTGTGTCCCTCTGGGGCCTCCTAGTGGTGGTAGAAGTTCTAGTCTATTTGACCTTAGGAACCTGTGTGAAAGGAAGCTTTCAAAGAAAGTCATTGGTCACTGATAGCATATGTTCCCCTCGGGCATGTGGACCATCCACTCCTGAAATACCCCTTCCTCCACTGTATCGGCAGCTATGAAGAAATCGCTATTTTTGAGTCTACATGTATTCTTGTCCTACAATAAGATAGGTTGCTAATTAGACAATCAACTTTTGCCAACTCTTGTTACAGTCTGGTCTCAATTTCAGTAGATCTAGGCAGCTCTACTGTTCACTGATATCCTTATACGTTGTTGAAACACAGTTATCAGAACTAATAATACTACAGAGGAAAAGAAGGCTGACTTACAAATGTCATTTGTCCCATTTTGTAATTTAGGTTTAGGGGAACCAAGTATCTTGTCTAAGGCCACAGAGCTAAGTGATAGTGCTGGACATTTAACCCAACCCTGTTCTCTATTACAATGTCAGGCCCTGTGAAGATGTTCATCAACTGAAACAGCATGTAGGAGAATTGTGGTGGAAAAGACTGTGAGGCCAAATTCAGGATCCAGCAAAAATAAGTACTCTGATCAAGGTGAGGTCTGTGACAGGGAGTAGCAGTATGTTTGTTTTCTCTTGCTGCCATTCTATTTTTACACAAATGAAAAGCAATTATTTTTTAAATTAAGAAATTTTAAAATTTACTTTTAGCTTAGCCCTGGCTGGTGTAGCTCAGTGGATTGAGCGCGGGCCTGGGAACCAGACAATCGCGGTTTGATTCCCAGTCAGGGCACATACCCGGGTTGCAGGCCAGTTCCCTGCAGGCCAGTTCCCAGCAGGGGACCCACGAAGGGCAATCATACATTGATGTTTCTCTCCCTCTCTCCTTCCCTTCCCCTCTAAAAATAAATAAAAATCTTTAAAAAAATAAAAGAAAAAAAAATTTACTTTTAGAGGGAGGGAGAGGGAGGGAGAAAGAGAGGGAGAGAAACATTGACATGCGTTGCCTCCTAAACACCCCAACTGGGCACCTGGCCCACAACTCAGTCATGTGTCCCAATGGGGACTTGAACCAGAGCCCTTTCGGTTTGCAGACCAATGCTCAATCCACTGAGCTACACCAACCAGGTCATGAAAAGCAATTTAGATACAGTGGTGCAGTTCATGAGCAGTATTATGATAGGACTTACTGTTCATACAGTTACTGCTTCTAAAACGTATTTTGGATTACTCCTTCTCTAATACTTTTCACTGGCCCACGTCTGCCCAATGAATGAAGTGTGAACTCAGGAGCCTGGTGATCACAGCTGTCAATGGTGCTCCAGTCCACCGACCGATCATTCTGCTTTTCTGTTCATGTTTTTCTCTGCTTAGTATGTTTACACAGCCCATAAAAATTACTCACTTTTCAAATTCCAAATTCCTGGGAAACTGCAAAGTTTCCATTAGTAGAGTCTGGATGGCTCTGTCAGACAATTTAGTGGAATAACTAGAACTGATTTTAAAATTACAAACCCAACCCCAATCACCCCGTCCTGAGGTGATCTATGTCTGCCGTGTACTCTACACCACTGCTTACTCTGCATTTGGTACTGAGAGAGGGGCGTTTCCCCTTCTCAGTCTGCAGAGGAAGGAACTCCTGTTCACTCTTGTGCTCTCCATACCCCATGGAAGGGTGACACATTGGACTGGTCAAAGACCAGAATACTGGTCCACACTCGACTACTAACACAACACGTCACTACTCTTATGCAACCATCTTCCCCACCATGTAGTTTCCCTTTCACTGTCTGCTCTCAAGTCCAAATGGGCCTTTGTGCTTCCTAATTTCGGGTTGTAAGAAATTAGAAAGAATAGAAATTCGGGTCTATTCTATCTTCATCTGCAACAGAACATGTAAAGGCAGGCCTGCGGTCTTACTGTCAGAGTTGCACATGGACATGGGGTTTATTTCAAAGATACCACTTTCTCCTCAGCTTCAGGAGAGCACACAGGGTTCGAGATTCAGACTCAGTGTGGGAGAGTGGAGCCCCCGCACTCCGCTGCAGGCACAGCCCACACTGGTGACCCTGGGCTCCTACCTGAGAGCCTGCCAGACTGGGGTTTATCAGTTCCTCCAATAATCTACTTGATATTTTGATCCTCTTTGGACTCAATCCTTTTTTTGATGTTGTTGCCCAAAACCCTGAAAAGAAGGGTCTGAACTTGTATTATTATCATAGCTTGCCTTATATTATTATTTCATGTACATAATACAGATCTTGTATCCTTAGTTTGATTACCAGGTTTCAAAAGGTTGGCATTGTGCAGTGCTGTGTTTATACTTTTGTTAACTGATTTATCCACATCACTTCCAGATAAAAGCACCCCACTCTCTCCTACAATATCTTATTAACATTAACCAAAATCATGCCTTCTCCCCCCACACCCTTTTGCTTGTCTTGGATTATGGTCTGTGGATTATGGGTTGCTCGTTCCCTTACTGACAATCTCTCTTATGATAACACTTTATAGAAGCTTCACTTTTTAAAGACTCTGGGAGTAAATCTGTATGAGGTGGTTCCCCTGACAGAAGACAGGAGCTGATGTGCAGACAGGGAAGTTGGCCATTGTGGTATCAGCAGGGTAACTGAGAGAGGTTTCCAGGACAAAGTCTGGGAGCTTAATACGTTCCCACAGTCATGCCAGTTGGGCAGCTATGCCCAGTGCATGAGAGAGCAATGAGCAGATGGGGGGGAGAGGAGTCTGAGGAAGCTTCGCAGCGTAAGGGGAGTTACAAGCGGGTTTTGAATGATGGGCAAAATTTTGACAATGCTGGGGGCAATGGTGTGTCAAGAAGAGGGAACAAGAACAATAGTAAAGAAAGCCCTGGCTGGTGTAGCTCAGTGGATTGAGCACAGGCCTGCGAATAAAAGGATCTCGGTTCGATTCCCAGCCAGGGCCCATGCCTGGGTTGCAGACCAGTTCCGAGCAGGGGATGCACGAGAGGCAACCATACATTGATGTTTCTCTCCCTCTCTCCTTCCCTTCCCCAATAAAGATAAATAAATAAAATATTTTAAAAAAAGAACAATAGTAAAGAAATGAGAAACGCACTTTGTGAAGAATTTGTCTGGAGAATGGCAAGTAATCTGGAGTGACTGAGGCACAAACTGGACAACCTAGAAAGGCAAATTGTGGTCAGATCTGGGAGAGTTCTGCATGTCAGTATAAATTTGGGTTTTTCTGTGAACGTGGTGCAGTGTACCTTCTAAAGCATAATTTGTCCAGCAGCAGGTCAGGCTGTGGAGGAAAGGGACCAAAGGGCAGGGAGGCAGGTCACAGTAAGGGCAATCTGGGTGAGAGGTCATGAAGAAATTAACTAGTGCAGTGGGCAAGGAAGGAGAAGTAAACATTTTCAGAATTGATATGGCAGGAATTTGGACACGAGGATAAAACAAGACAAGAACTTTGAAGTTTTGAGCTTTAATGTGAGATGAATGCAAACCCTAGAAAGATAGAATAAAGAACAGTTGGGGGAGGATGATGGATCAGCATACCTGGGGACAATGGATAGCAGCTAAAATGTGGGTTTACAGCAGGAGGAGGATCACAAATAGATTTGGAAATAATATACATTAAGGTAAGAACTGAAGTCAAGGGAATGGAAGAGATCATGAAGAAAGTACCCAAAGGGAGGAGAAAACACTGTCAAAAGAACCCAGGGAAGTACCTCAAAGGTAAGTCAAGTTTCACTTCACTGATAGTTCTCTCTGTTGCTTCCCGCTAAATGGGAAACTGGTAGGTCAATCTAATTCTTCCAATATTTTTGAAAGTACCCTGTTGAAGTTCCACAGACCAGAAATTTTATAAAACGTTTAACCCAATAATGAATATGTGTATGCATGTATATATATATATTATATCCTTACTATTTAATAGGATCTAAAACCTTTGACCAGCAGTGAAACCTGACATTCATAGATTACTGCTATATTGTGGGCAAAAGCACAGCCTGGTGCCAGCTACTCAGGTCACTGTCCTGGCCGTCCTCTTAGGTGATTCTGGAGCAAGGTACTCAACCTCTTTGTTTTTCCGCTTCCTTGCCTATGAAGACAGTAACTGTTATCTACTTCACATAAGTAGTTGTGAAGGTTAACTGGGATATGTATAAAGTGCCAGGCATACTGAAAGTGCTCAATAAATGCTAGCTATTATTATAAGCTGTTATTTGTTGTATACAACAGAATGAACATTCTAATGAATGAAAGTGACATCATTTTCTATGTAAGATGCTTTGCAAATCTAGATTGTTATGAAGCTGATATTAATCACTTAGATACCATTTCCAAAGAAATTTATTTTCAGGATACAATAGACTTCTTTCATTTTATATTATTTCTAACAGATACAATATCTGGTTGGCCTCTAGAAAAATTAATATTAATGCCACTAAGAATGGGATAATGCTAACTTTTAATGTGAACCTTCAATTACAGGTATTGTAAACACTAATATCACATCATGAAACATACTGCTCCTGGGTAGCTATTATAATAAGCTATTTATAAATATAATTTTGCTTATCTTGCTGAATCCACTTGAACTGTTTTGAAGAAAAGGTACAATGAATTAATATGTAATTATTTAATCAACTTAGCACATCTGTAAATTCATGGACTTGTTATATCCTGTTTAGTCTGATGTGCCCTATAGAAACTATAACCTGCTTGTCCGTATCTAGTAAGCTGTTTATCCTAAAGGTGCTTAATTAAGTGCCCTCCTCACACTCATACGCATGCCCACTCTGATTTTCAAAGCTGGCCTATCAGACCAACAGTGTCCCTTCCCACCCGGTCTCTCATGGGCAGGGCACTGTCAGGCTGCCCTCCTGCTGTTTGTAAGAATGGATTAAATATAATTTCAATTAACGCTTCAAAGCGCGCTATTTTCTCTGTAGACAGACACCACCGAATTTGATAATGCAAATAAAATGTTTCCACCAGAACAAAGCAGTGAAACTTAACAAAGCTATACTTAATTAGAAAGGTGAGACAGTACCTCAGTTTAAAATGGCTTTAAGGAATTCATAGCTGTCAAGATGATGTAACTCTGTATGAAAGAAAAAAGAATATTTTAGGAAACAGTTCAGTGTAAGTTGTCACAGTATATGTTGCAGGATAAATACTGAATCAAAATGAAATTAAAATAAAGAACCCAAACATAAAGTTTTATTTTACAGTATAAATAGCAGCTCTGAGGCTATAAATTCTTGTTTCAACAGACTACTGATTTGCCTGATTCTGTGCCAGAATGTACATTTAAAAATTTAGAATGAAAACTGCCGGGAAACTTACTGTAACGCAAGTGCAGGGGTTTATTACAATTTCTTGTCTTTTGTGCTGGAGTCTACCATCCCGAGGGCAGGAGTGTGCCCATCTTACTCACTCGTGTGTCCCAGTGCTGGGACGGTGGCCTGGCTCACAGCAGGTAGTCAGTAAACATTAAGTGAGCGAGTCATGTAAGGAGACAGCAATCGTAAGTATTTGAAGATATTGAGGTAATTCCTTTAAAAATTCTTATAGCAGTCATTTGTTATTCTTCATTCATGGACTATGGATTGTGGACCTCCTGTCTGGGTTTTGTAGTAGGCTCCGGGGCTACAGAGATAGGACTTTTGTCTGCCAAGGAGGAGCCCAGAAAGTGCCCAGTACCCAGACAATCACAGTACACGACAACACTGCAACATGATACGTTTATAAACATTCAGACAAGTGTTGTAGAAGCCCAGAAGATGAAGCAATTTAGCTTCACCGAGGCGAGCTAGGGAGAGTTTTACAGACAATGGAACAGCTGAGACTGACCTTACAGGACAAGAAGTCCACTAGACAGAGAGGAAAGCAATCCCTGTAGAGAGGGAAGCAGCAGAGGGGCCTGGAGTCACAGAAGACGGGAGTTTAGCACATGCTGTGAACAGTACGAATGAAGATGGCTACTCTCCTCTATGCGAGGTCTGAGCTGAAGGAGAAATCACCTAACATTTACTTATTACACAAGCCCTGCTTTGAAGTATATAATTAGCTATATAACACTGTAAATATCTACTTTATTATTATCTGTATGTGTTTAAAATATATAAACCACTTAGAAAATTTAACTAACTCTTTTTTGAGGAGCTTTTCTATTTTAAGAGTTAAAATGAAAAAAAAAAAAAAGTTCACCTATAAGGTGACAGAAAACCAATTTCTACTAAATGTGCCAGAATAATTTTTCTCCACCTCAAGAACAGTTAGTCTTCAGTCTGTTCATTACTATCCTTTTATAGTATTTTTATTTAATAAAACCTATTAAGACTACCATACAAATCTCTTTACTTATGCTTTTATCTTTTAGCTGATCAATTTTTATATTGCTGACATCCCTTCTTCACCATTTGCTCATTTAAAAATTCATAGTATGTGAGATATGTCTCTGGAGAAAATGTCTATAAAATTTGTTACAGCTGGCAAATGTGTATGAGTCAGTGATAGCACATGACTAAATGCTTCACAGAAAATAAAATTTGTTTCTGTAGTAAGCAGAACTGTTTAAATGTTATTTATTTTTATGTTTCAAAGAAAATATATTGTGAAGTGTTGCATTGATTTAATACGCAACAATGTCTGTGTACACGCTGTAGAAAGAAAATTTATGAAACCTTTGCACAACTCCTTTAATTGAATTTTCCAAATCTCTCACCACACACAAATAATCAATATCTTCTGCAGAGAAAACCAGTCAGAATTATTACAGTCTTTCGTTGCAATTTTGTTGTCATCAGCACATACAGAGCACCTGGATATTTATAATGTCTGATAGCAAGTTATTTATACCTTTTAAACACATAATTGCTATTCAATGAGTTCAAGTCTGTGGTTTAAATTTTTTTAACTGATTACTTAAAAGGTAAAAATTGTCACACTTCTGGTAAAGTATAAAAAATTTAAATCATGAAAAATATTCCTTAAAACGCTTTGAAAAAAAGTAAAGCAGTTTGTTTTTCCTTAAGCCCTAGAAAAATCTCAAGGAAACAGTCAGAATGTCTCCCCCGAACAGTGATGGATAACGTAGAAGAACATCAGTGGTACTGAGCAGAAAGGCAGAGAAAGGGCACAGCACACACGACAGCTGAACCTCTCTAAGGAGCGAGGACCACGATGGTACGCTAATATGCACTTGGGTGACCAAAACTGCTATCTCCATTTTTTTTTATCTTCAGATAAACTCAGAAATGTTAGAGCATAGGGGGAATTTTTATTGGTTTACCTAAAACTCTTAGGTTTAAGCTTCAAGCCTCAGTGCTTTTAAAACTGAAGTATTTGTCTGAAAAAATATATGGTTTAATGTTAACATACAACAGGAAAAACTAACAGGGTAGTAGTCTTCCAGCAGTAAAATTATTTAGCTGATCTGATGAATACTTTTTCAAGACTGAGTGGGGGAAAGAACAACATATTTTTAAGTTGAAAAATACTTCAGTGGGTGGTTAGAATGAAAAGGCACTATCAAACTATTTCATCGCCTTGGAGCAGGAGGAGTTTAAAATCTGTTCTAGAGTCCAAAAATTTGAAAACTTTAAAATCCTGTAACCAAGATGAATTTTGCAATGTAAGAAAAGAGTAAGTTAGCTGAAGAAAACAGAAACGCTATAGTCTGTGCTTTTCTTTTTAAGGCTAGACATAGAAATTCTGAAGTATGTTGAATTATAAAGAGCTGAAACAATCAACTTTTTTGAACGATGTAAAGTTCAGATAGTTAACATTTCATTTAAAATATGCATACTACAACCTACACAATTATTCTCAAAAATGATAAAATATGTTTTGGACTGAAGCTAAGTGTCTAGATTTCATATCTTGGCAACTGCTCTACAATTTGCTTACATTCTTTTCAAAAATATTTTGTTTACTGGAAGCACTAGTCACAGACAGACAATGATGGCATTTTCTAATATCTCTAGAAAAAAGGGAAATACTAAGTACTACATAATGCAACCTATTGACTTAGGAATATTTGTATCAAGTTGTTTTAAGCTGAGGTTGATTATATAAAGTAAATAAATTTCATGCCTTACCATGTGATGATAATGTGACTTTCCATCTCTATCAACCCATTGAATGGTCATATGTTTTAAGTGTTCAGCATAGCAAATTAAAAATAATTACAAAAATTCACATTCAAAAATAACAAAAAGAACCTTTCATTTCATTATTTTGCTAATAGTCATAAAGCCAATATTATTAAGGAAAGTGAAGTTAGGCTTACTTCCTAAGTAACTTAGAAAAAAAACAAACCTTCCTTTGTTTAAGAAATGTGTAGTTAGCAGAGGATATCCTCTTTTATTTATACACTCTCTCAAGGCATTTCTTGATTTGCAAGGTCCAGTTCTTCTGAAAACTATAAAAATCTCAGTGTACCTTTAAATTTTTTTAATAAGTTATATAAAGCCTTAAGAATGTGTGTCAGATGTCTTTTCACTTAAAACTCTAGAGTGTTATTTTTACAAGTACACTCCTCTGACTGTATTAAAGACTGCAAATGATGCTAAACAAGCTAGCACTGAAATTTAAAACAACATACAACCAAGGGACCAATCTGAAGGGCCAACTATAGCGTAAGTGTTGGAATTCTCCTAGTATTGTCTACTTAGACATTCTCTGATAGTGAAACAAATTATTTATTTTCATTTCATAATTACCTAATAAAAGAAATCCAATACATGTTATATAGTTTTATATTACATAATTCCTAACTATATAATTTCTAATGTTAAGAAGATTCCCAAGACACTTTTACATTTAGACAGCTCTGGGTACTAGCATAACTAAAAGAAAAGAGTGAACTAAAAATGTCTATAAAAAGGCCAGATTCCCAAATAAGAAACATATAAAGCAAATTAGTTTGGCTGTTCAGGAAAACTAACGAAGTCCTCTCAAAAAGAATGTATGACCAGGAGGGGATTAGAGTTACTAACTCAGCAGAAATTTACATAAATGTGTGCGTGTGCTGGTGATCGTCCTCTGTAACCAAAAGGTGAAACAAAACAAAAATGCCACCGAAATAAAAAATTACATGTAATATTAGAGACCAGAGAAAGAGGGAAGAGCACCCAGTAAAAAGATGTAGTTCAAACTCAAATTATAAAGAAAAGAAGCGTCTATCTATTTTTCAGGTATTACTTCAAGATAGCTAAAAAGCTAATGAAGGTCTGAATACCTCAAAAAATATAAAAGGATAATGTAGCTTTTGCCAAGAAACAGAAATGGAAGATGACATATATTCTAGGATATACTATATGTATTGATATATAACATATATTATGTATATATTAACTCAGTTTTCATTTAAACCACAACAAATAATCAATGCTTATTAGGAGTTGGAAAACACGATTTAGTGATACAATCCTCTCCATGCACGAAGAAATACTTAGTCCTTAAGGAAAACCCGGTAATGAGAAAGTCAGTTTTAATGCCTAAAATGTTAGAAAATAGATTTAAGACTGATTATACCTAAACACACAAGGAATCAGTATATACTGGATAACTGAAAGATGAAAACTGTTTTAGCACAGGGAAATAACTTTAATGTTTTAATACATGTTTAGGGAAGGAAACAATACTTGTGGAAAGTTTTTCCTTCTTAATTTTTAGCCGTGACAATTCACTTACTTGTTCTACAATTTTATCTACCTCATTTCTCAAAACTGTTGGGAAAAGCTAACTATGTAAAGCCTAATTCTAATTAGCTCTAGGGAATTACAGATTTAAAAGAAAACTGGAGAATTGGCATAATATATATAGACTCAACATTTCTTCCAACTGGGAAATAATAAACATTCCAACTTCCCATTATGATCCTCTAAAACTTCTCACGTTTGGAGAGATTGAAACCAATGAAACCCATATATCAAGTTATACAGCAGAGGAGAGAAGAAGTCTCAAGCCTTCTTAAATTCTTGGGGTCCATTGGAAGTTAGCTGCTTTGCTGAATGGCTCAGGCAGCTACCCAGCTGCCTTCCCATGTGAGTTTTGGAGGAGAAGAGCCACAGCTGCTGGCCTGCCATGACTTAGTTGGCTTTTGGAGCTGACCTGCAGGGAATCCCAGCACTTTCCACTACAAGTTCACTGTCAGCAGTTAAAGATCCTAGATACAGTCTACCATGATAGACTGGTTGAACCAGTTTCAGTTATGTCTCATCAGAATCTGAAGAATGGGTGATTTGATTTGCTTTAGGAAGAAGCAACATCATATAATGAAAGGATCCTACTTTTTGGGGTCAGAATGGTCTTTAGTTGGAATTCCTTCTCTGGCACTAAAATAGCAGTATCTTTGGGCAAGTTTACCTAACATTTTCTGTGTCCTTCTTCCTTATCTATATCTAACATCTTACAGAGTTGCTGTAAAGATTTGCTGATCCTAGTAATAATCATAGTAATTATTGGTCCTTAATAAATGGCAGTCATTGGTACACAAAGTGATAGACTATACCATGGCTACCCAATTCAAGGCCTACCTCTGCAGAGATTGCTAAATGGCATTCATATGCGTGTGTTATGGGAACTTAAATCCTGCTAATTGACTTAACCACACTGTGAAATGCTCAGTGGCGTGACAATTAACAGTAGATCTAACATCATTAATGATGCCAAAGTTTCCAAAGCACTGGTTACAAAGTAACTTTATGTGTGTCTCTTTCCAATTCACCATTAAAAGTTGCTATTTATTAATGCATTGTTGCTCCATTTTTCTAAATCTCAAAAGAAACTTTGAATGAAACTACAGAAATGAAATCTTACACAGAAACATATATTTCAAAACATATTTTGCAAGTTCAGTCATCAGGGAAGTTGAGCTCATCAGATATGGTCTTCTGCTAACTGAAATTTCAGTTCAGATTCCTGGTCTTTTAAGAGTACACCAAAAGACTCATAATGATTGGTTTTAAGTTGTAAAATGAGATGAAAGGATCTTTTTATATAATAAGTTAAAACACAACTTTTTACCTTTGTTAGAAAGTTCTGAGCTCTTCTTCTCAAACAGTTTTTGTTTTGTTACTTTTGTCACTAGAGAAAAACAACTCATGTTAGGAGTTAACATGGAAGGCAAATAATTTCTCATCTTGAAAGAAACTATCAAAAAATAATTCAAAGCAATATATGTGTGTGTATGTATAGATATCAAGTACAAAATGCAATACATTATATCTTACTTAAAGAAATGAGCACTACAGAAAAAAAAGCCCAACCACAGTTTTAAAGGTACCTTCTTCCCCTTTACATTAAGAGCAATCCCTGAAATAACATAACCTGGTAAATGATATGTGGCTGCTACTATTTCTATCTCGTGTTCGGTAGTGATACATATAAAGAGGTCTATCAAATTTAAATTTGGGAAAAATTAACAGGCTTATCTCTAAAGTTGAAAATATTAAAATACATATCTAACTTTGCAAACAGGGAATGGACAGACACCACTGTAACCTCATAAAGTCTTCTTACTCAGTTCTTTTGTTTTCTGCATTTCTCTTTTTAAGAAACATGATCCACAGGAGATACCAATGAGATTTTCCAGCTTTCTATTGCCCTCTAAAGCCTAAAACAGAGTAATTTTAAATTAGTTAAATTCTCTTCAAATATCGCTGACAAATCTAGTAAAAATACTGTTTCCTTAATCTGAAAAATTAAAGCTTCACAGTAGGAAATTTAACATTTCCTGGTATGTTAACTATTGCAAGCCTTAAATACCTGGATTAAAAACAACTTATTAATTAGAAAGACTAAACATAATCTACAAATTTACTTTTAAATGTGAAAAAGCCAGGTATTACTAAAATATTATGGTTTATTAATTTTCATATTAAAAATTCCCATGAAAAGTAAATTAAATATATGCCCGGCAAACTACTGAATTGGATTCTCCAAACTGGGGCTTCTTTCCTTTCCTTTTTCAAATGGGATAGTAGAAATATAAAATATGCCCCCCAAAAAGCAAACCTGTATACTACTTAAACCTTGCATTATTTCCACAATTTCTTCTGATGATTTCTCAACTTTAGATAGCAATGCCATTAATCTGTGAATAAAGAAAAAATAGTATTTAGCAAGATCAAACATTTTAATACAAGTCATTTTCAGAACTTTATTTCTTTTTACAGAATTTTACATTGTTTTCTATTCCTTTTCTTTACATTTTCCAAAGTGGTTAGAGATGTAAATGCTCCTCCTCCATTCCTTCATTCCTTTACAAACAATACATATTATCAACCATCCTGTCTTTTTAGAGTTTCACTTTTTCTCATTCCCACCGAGTAGCAACAGATTGTAGAACTAAGAAATGTCCAAACCTGTAGAGAATTTTATGAGTTTATTTGAGCCAGACTAGCATGTTGGGAAGCGTGACGAAGCATGATCTCAAATGCCCTGGGACATGAGTTTTGCTCTTTCTTTTACGCCTTTGGAATTCATGAGGGAACGTAAAAAAGATTACCTGAAGGTGACAGAAAGCAAAGTACAGAATAGTTAACGAGATTATGTGCTCCCTTTTGTGTGACTATTTCTTCAAGAGGTCTGGAAAACAGGATTACTTCTGACAGTGCAAAGGTGTGTTAATCTAAATGCACAAGAATAACAGACAGGGTTGCTTAAAAACTTTTCACTAAAGAAGATACAGTCTGTGTTCATTGCAGTGTTATTTACAATCACCAAGATATGGATGCAGCCCAAGCACCCATCAGTAGATGAGCGGATGAAACTATGGGACATTTACACAATGGAATACTACCTGGCCATAAAAGGTGAAAAATTTTACCCTTTGAAACAGCATGGATGGACCTAGAGAACATTATGCTAAGTGAAATGAGTCAGTCAGAGAAAGACACCATACAATTTCACTCGCATGTGGAATCTAATGAACTGAACTAACAAGGAAAATCGAGACAGACTCATAGATGGAGAACAGATAACAGCTAGTGGAAGTGGGAGGTTATGGGGTGGAGGGATTGAGCAAAAAGGAAAAGGACTCATGGACATGGACAACAGTGTGGTGACTGAGGGTAGGATGGAGTATAAGGGGGCTAAGTGGTAATGGGAAAAATATAATAACAAATATAAATAATTTTTTTAAAAGAAGGAATCCTAGAGGCCCCGAGGCCCATTACCTTGTTATATCCCTTTTCCTGGGAGGACTGGGATGACATGGTGTCCATGTGACTACAGTCACACAGTCTTTAACATCATCCTTACTTTCCTTTACTAATTTACTTATCTCTGAAAACCAACAATCTCTCATTTCTGCCTGTACATTTCTCAATAATTGAAAATTTTCTACAAACTACTGCTCAAAATAATGGTCTAAGCTAACCTCCACTTCCTCGGTACTGAAATTAAGCCCTTTTATTCAGATCTCTGCCGTACAACTCTACTAACACTATACTCTCAAAGGCCACTCTTAATTCCATTGCTAACAAATTAGCTGAAAGTCACTACCTGTAAGAGATTTTATTTTTTACAGAAAAAGGTAAAGGGGTCAATGAACCTTTATTTATCTAACTTTATCTAAATTGATTACTTTGGATGATGATAGTGGGATTGTAATAAAATATATTGCTAACTTATTTTTTTGAACTCTTTCTAAGTTCAAGGCACTATACTTGTTACTTTACAAGCTATATCTTATTTTATCTTGCAAAAAACACTAGTATTAGCTCCATTTTACAAATATGAAAACTGAAGCACAAATTACTTATTTACTCAGAGTTACACAAAAAGGGCACAGTCAGGATGGAACCCAGGTTTTCTGACCTGTGTTTGTAACCAAACGCAGTGCTTCCTGAAGTGTAATTCATTTACCACTACGGTCAGAATTCCTTGGTGAGACTGTCAAGAATGCAAAGTAATCAAGACCTACTGATGAAGAATATCTCTAGATGGGGCCTGGAAATATGCATTTCCATGTGATTCTCATGCATATCAGCTAATCATGTAAGTTAATTAAAAACATTTTCTCCTAAGACTGGTTAAATTAAAAATAAGTGGACAATATAAAAAATTTGACACCCCTTGTCAAAAATTCTTTTTTTGTGTTTAGGTCTATTTATTCCATTATATTCTTAAAAGCTTTCTCAGGGAGGTTTTCTTTAGCTGTTCTTTTATTTGTAAGAAAAATTTTCTTTCTGTGGCAAACTATATATAAAATTTGTCTTTTTAATCATTTTAAAGTGTGCAGTTTCATGGTATTATTTACATAATGATATGCAACTATCATCACTACTTCCAAAACTTCTGTCACCATAGAGAGAAACTCTGTTTCATGAAGCAGTAACTCAGCCTCTGGTAATCTCTAATCTACTTTCTGTCTCTCTGAATTTCTCTGTTCTAGATACTGCACGTAACTGGAACTGTACAATAGTTATCCTTTGGTGTCTGGCTTATTTCACTTACTATATGTTTTCAAGGTTCACGTTGTAGTACATATCAGAACTGCATTCCTTTTATGACGGGATAATACTTGTAGAAGGTGTGAGGTAGGGTCCATCTACTATTTTTTTAATATTGACCTTTCAATTGAGGTATAATTGACGTATCAATTATTGTACATTGAACATACATCTGAAACACTGTATTAATTCCAGGTGAACAACATAATGATTGGATATTTGTACGTACTACAAAATGACCACCACAGTTAGTGTAGTTAACACCTGTTACCATACACAGTTACAAAATTATTTTTCTCATGAGAACTTTTCAGATTTACTCTCTCAGCAACTTCCATATATGCAATAGAGTATTATTATTTATAGTAATCATGTTGTACATTACATCCCCATGACTTACTTATTCTATACCTGGAAATTTCTATCTCTGACTGACCTGTTTACCCATCCCCCCACCGAGCACGCCCCATCTCTGGCAATTGCCAATCTGTTCTTTATATCTATGAGCTTGGTTTCTGTTTTCGTTTGGTTGTCTTCGGTTCCCCATATAAGCCAGATTTGTTTTTCTTTGTCTGACTTATTTCAGTTAGCACAATGCTATAAAGGTCTATTCATATAGTGGCAAATGGCAAGATTTCATTCTTTTTATGACTGAATAATATTCCATTGTGTGTGTGTGTGTGTGTATGTATGGAATATTATACTACACACACACACACACATATACTGCATTTTCTTCATCCATTCACCCATTAATAGACACTTAAGTTGTTTTTGTATCTTGTCTATTGTAACTAATGCTGTAATGAACATGGGGGTGCATATATCTTTTCAAGTTAGTGTTTTTGTTTTCTTTCAGCTTTACTCTTTGGCATGTAGAAATCCTGTTGTCTCAGCACCATTTGTTGAAGAGACTATTCTTCCCCCATTAAACAGACCTGGCACCCTTGTCAAAATCACTTTGGCTGTAGATGTATGGGCTTATTTTTGGACTCCCAATTCTACTCCATTGATCTATATGCTTATCCAGAACCATACTGTTTTAATTATTGTAGGTTTGTAGTGAGTTTTGAAATCAGGAAATGTAAGTCCTCTGACTTTCTTGTTCTTTTTCAAAAAATTTTTAAAGATTTTATTTATTTATCTTTAGAGGGGAAGGGAAGTAGAGAAGGAGAGAAATACAATGTATGGTTGCCTCTCATGCATCCCCTGCTGGGGACTGGCCTGCAACCCAGGCATGTGCCCTGACTGGGAATCAAACTGCAGTCTTTTGATTTGCAGGCCCGTGCTCAATCCACTGAGCTACACCAGCCAGGGCCTTTTTGAATTTTTTTAAATTGAAATATATCTCCAGATCACTGAATGAGTAGAAACAACCACTGAGTGGTCTTAAAGCTGTTCTTCCACAAACTCCTGACAGAATGTAAATAAGGTTTACAGGAAACAAAGTTTCTAAAAATATATATATACTTGACATATTGTGTAAATTTAAGGTATATGACATGTTAACTTAATAAATTTACATATTGTAATATGACTGCCATTGTAGTGATAATTAGTGCCTCTATCATGTTACGTAATTACTATTTCTTTTTAATGGATGGAATAATTCTAGCCTTAGGAAATCTGAAGATTATAATACAAATATTGTTGTCTACATTCACTATACAGTGCATTAGACCTTTAGGACTTACTTACTATTGTTTGCAAATCTTGTACCCTTAAATAACATTTGTCCTATCCCCCTACCCCCTGCAGACCACCAGTTTTTATGGATTTTTTTTAAAAGATTCTACATATAAGTAATACCACTACTTGCTATTTGCTTTCATTGTATGTCCTTTTGTACAACTTTTTTTACTATGTACATATATTGCTTCTTTTTTTTTAAAGATTTTATTTATTTATCTTTAGAGGGGAAGGGAAGGAAAGAGGGAGAGAAATATCAATGTATGGTTGCCTCTCATGCACCCCCTGCCGGGAACTGGCCTGCAACCCAGGCATGTGCCCTGACTGGGATTTGAACCACAATCCTTTGGTTCACAGGCCCGTGCTTGCTTCTTTTAAACTATAATAAGTTAAACAAAAAAATGCTTTCCTCTCACCATATTTTGCCATGTATAATCTGTATTTTACTGCCTAAATTTTTGAGGAAGAAATAAGGATGCACATTATACATGGGTAGTACTAATTCCATATCTATATAAATGCTCTTAATTCTTTTATTTATGCTTATGTGTTAAAAGTGTAATCTAGAAAGCAATAACATTATTCATACGGAAAATAATACCCTGGAACATGGTAATTGGTTTTGTTTCTAAATATAAATACATACATACATACATAAAATAAATGAAAAATTAAAAGATTTTTTCTTGAAAGTTTGGGCCAAAAACATGGGTACACATTATACACTACAAAATACAGTAGTATCTGGTTGAGATAGGTTTCACTGAGGAAGTGAGAACTTTAAACAGGGGAAGAAGGGAGTAGTAATTTATAACAGAAGTATGCTGGGATAGGGCATGTGAAAATATTTGGAGCTGGGGGAGTATGGCTAGGGAAAAGAGCTAGGAAAAGCAGGTAAAGGGGCATGGGGCTAGTGTAGGAGATGCCAAACAAGAACACTTCTCTGAGAAACTCTGCATCCTCACCATACTCTACATGGTACTCACTTTCCATCTTTTAATGTAGTTTAGCTATTATGAAAAAAATCCACTTGAGACCCTGACCTGGGGGTATAACCACAAATTACAACTTGTATAGAAAATTCATTCTAAGTTTCACTCAAATGGTTTAAAAATATTTTGAAACATTACCCACTTCTGAGTCAGAGCAGGTATATTAACATAAGATCCCAAGCTTCCAATGGGTAGAAACTTCATTTTCCTCATCTCTACCCATCCATGATATTGTGTGGTATGAAGAAGATAACAGCTGAAAGGGTAAATGAGCTGAATATATGAATTACTTTGAATATTTGATCACTGTCCTCCTTAATTCAATTTCTCCAGGCTCAATGAATACATATTCTTTCCAGAATACATAGGCAGCAGCTTTCTACAGATAATGACTTCATTCAAGGGACCTCTGGCAAGCCAATATGAAAGAAGCTGGTTGCTGGCATGTAAGCCTTCTAGGTTCCTCTGGATTCCGTCATCTGCGGGCTTCACTGTGTTCTTAGCTATTGAACCAGCTATTTCTTAGGCGTTATGTTCCCAGACGACATATTACTTCTCCACCCACGTAAATCTGAAAAGAGCTCTTCAGTTTTACCCTAAGCTGGTCTCTTATGTACGAGTCGGGAAAAGTGGGCTCAATGAGCATTAATATTAAGGTATCACATATCACCATCATGTGAACACTGCAAAACACATTACAAGTATTTCACGTCATTAAGAAAGACCACTTTAACTCAGGCATAACTCCTTACTAACTTCTGTAAGAAAATAATTTCTTGTAAATTATCACTAACAAATATGACCCCCCTCTTTCAAGACACATGTACAGTATTTAAAAAAAAAAAAACAAACTTACTCATCGTCTTTTGTTGTAGATTTCTTTCTCTTGGTTAAACTGAGATGATTCGATTTTTTTCTCCTTCCTATACATGTGCAACAAAAAAAAACATAAGGGAAAAATTGTCAAATGTTAAATAAAATTCAGATCACCACATTTTAAATAGAAAATAAAAGGGTAGACAAATAAAAGGAAAGAAAAAAAATCCTGAAATTTACTATGGGAAAAAATTTTCACTGTTATAACTTTTCAATAGTTATTTTACGTTTTTCATTTCCTGCTTTCCTATTGTTTATTCATGATGATGTTATATAAAACAAACTTTTTAAAAGAAGGGAAGGGAGGAAGTTAAGAGACAGAGAGAAATATTGACGTGAGAGAAAAACGTCGATTGGTTGCCTTCTGTGCCCACCCTGACCAGAAACCGAACCCACAACCCAGGCATGTGCCCTGACTGGGACTTGAACTGGTGACCTTTTGGTCTGAGGAACAACACACAACCAACTGAGCCACACCTGCCAGGGCTAGAAAAAACAATCTTTTGAAAAAAATTCCCAGTAGGGCTTATATATTAAAGAGAAAAAGAAAAAAACTAAGTTATTCTTCATATGTGTGTGGGGTTAAAAATGTTAGTTTGGTTTCATAGCTCTAGTAGAACTTAATGTTTACACCTATTAGTGGTCAAGTAAACAATGGTTTTATGAGCTAACCATTTGGTTGTTTGTTCTAGATTATAGTACAATATACACTATATACTTTAAACACATTTGATGTCTAAGTATTTCAAGATACATTAGCATAGTTAATTAAAGATTCTCAGTGTCTTACATATATGGCCTTTGATGTTTATTAAATGAATAAACAAGCAAATGAATGAATAATCCAAACTCTTTACTATTAATGACAAACACTAAAGAAAATCACTTCTTAAAATGTTTAAATGATGACACTCCCCTCTTACTATTCCATATTTTCATGCAGTTCCATTTGTTCAACAACTGACACAAGAACTATTATTTACTCAATGTTCTCATTACTTTTCAAAAAAACTATTTGATGTAATATATTGTGAAAAACTATCTGATTCTCCAACAGAAATACAAAGTGAAACACTTAATGTAATTTAAAATCTTCTACTAGCAAAATTTTTCTAAAAAGTAAACAGAGCCACAAGCCAAGAAACATCACAGTTTGCTGGCAGCCTCCAGAAGCTGGGCAGAGGCGTGGGACAGAGTCTCTCAGAGCCTCCAGAAAGAGCCAATCCTGCCGACAACCTGATTTGGGGGTTTGGTCTCCAGAACTGTGAGAGAGTAAACTTCTGTCATTTTAAGCTACCAGGAAAAGAAAAAGAAAAAGAAAAAGAAAAAGGAAAAAACTAAGCGAAATAAATTCTGATATTTCATTTAACCCAATATACCCAAAATACTATAATTTTACACATAGAATATACAATTATTAATGAGATAATTACTTTTCACACTAAATCTTTGATATGCAGTGTGTATTTTACACTTATGGCACACCTCATTTCAGACAAGCCACATTCCCAATGCTCTACATGTACTGAACAGTATAGGATTATACCAGAGAAGGCTCTAATATTTCCAGATAAAGTCAATTATACAGATAATGTGAAGGCAATTTCTTTCAATTTTCAAGTGTAATTTATTAAATACTAAGAAATATATAATCTGGAACAGATTTTGCAATGCTGGTTTGCACTTTTTAAATTTAATTTTTATTCCATTAATTATACTTGTTCCTAATACTAGGGGGAAAACTTATTTAAAGTATATTTCCTATGATCTGGTATTTATAATTCCATTGAGTAAGTTGGTTCAGAAGGTGATTAATAATTTCCTCACTTACTTTGAACTTTATACCTTCTCTAAAAAAATTATAACTAAACTGTCATCTCAAATTAGACTTTAATGCCAAAAATGTTGTGATTTAGAAATTTTGCTAAAGTACTAGTTACCTCTCTTGTTTATTAACTTTTCATTACTTGACTTGTCTGTACCTTAAATTTAACAGAATAAATTAATATGGTTAAGAGTTTATTTAATGAAAAATGTAAGGGTAAAAAGGTAACATTTATAATTTTGGAGAACTCTTAAAAAATAAGTCTATTAGAAGCTGTCTGTCTCAAGAAAAAAATCAAGCTAGAAATGTATGTTTTGTAGAAAACCACAAATGAAAACCCATAGTACACATTAAACCTTTATTTCAGAAAATTAGTATTAATTAATTCCCTGAATTTTGTACTATGGTGTCTGTACTCAATGAATCTCTACAACTAAATATTAAAATTACTCTGTTCTTTTACCTTGTATTTAATTTTCACATTTTAGCACCCATCAGTAATATTAGGTGAGAAATAATAAAAGAATGCTTTATTTAAATTTTCACCCATTCAATACTTTTCTAAACAGTTTTATTATTGTAAGAGGATTAGTCAAATCTCCTCCTATAAAATCAATAGCATTAATCTCAATTTTTCCATGGAAGAACTTATGTTTTACTATATATTTCCAATTGATAAGCAGGAAGAGTTTTAAAGTCTCTAAGAATAACACTTGCATCAGTTATCAAAGACTGTTAGTAAATGCTAATATATCATTAGGAGTCATTAGGAGGTTTCTAGTTACTTAACAGCTACTTTCCTTTATTTCATTCAATTCTAGTTAAAAGGCTATCTGGTCTTTTTCTTGCTAGGTTACATATGACAAACAGTTGTATGCTTGACTCCCTTTAGATGCAATTTTGCAAAACTGTAGTAATAAACATACCATCACTAAATATGGGCTATATTCAAAATTGTTTGTGGACATTCTAGTAAGGCTCCAGAGAGCCCCTTCGGTAACTAATGAAGATAGCTTACAACAAATCATAACATTTAGAAGTATAACCAATGATGATGATGATGATAACATTCCCTTATATAGTATTTTTAGGGCTAGGCACTGTTTTTTTATAAATGTTACATATGTTAACTAATTAATTTGCACAACTCTGAGGTGGTCACTCTTATTTTCATTTTACAGATGAGGAAATAGAGGCATAGAATGACTTACATAATTTATCCTCGGCAGCCCTAAAATTAGTGGGTGGCAGAATCAGGCCCTGCTGGCTGTGAAAATGGTGCTCCTACCCATGATGTTATGCTTATTTATTAACAGATTAATCTAAAGTTCAAACAGGTCTAGGCTAGTATCATGCTGCTTCTAGATATACATACTTTGTAGCTGACACACATCTCAGGCATCATTTGGTCCCAAACTAGAAGTTAAGATTTGAAGAAAATTTTGATTGACCCAGAGAGATTCAAATGATTTGTGTAAGGTGTCACATACATGTAGTAACTTTTTTCTAAAACAGTTATTGCTAGAACAAGTTGGAGCTTGCAGGCTAACAGGCAAATCGAATCTTGGTATCCTCTTAATTAACCAAATTAGTATTAGTAAACAAGTGTGGAGAACAAAGAAGCCCTTTAGAGAAACAATTGATGAAAAATAACAAGGTTAATGGTGCTTATTAAATTCAAAATACCTTTACTGAGTCCTATGGAAGAAAATATAACATTCTTAAAGTATTACCTATAATATTGACTAGAAAGGTATCAATGAGAAAAGTGGAATGGCTTTTTATCAATGAGAACATTAAAGAGTCAGCAACGGAACAAGTTTTAAAATCTTTTAAAAAAATTGATTATACTAATTACAGGTGTCCCATTCCCCCCCCAATTCCCCTTTGTCCTGCACACCCCCTTCCCACCTGCACTCCCCCTCTTTAGTTCATGTCCATGGGTTGTACATATAAGTTTCTTGGCTTCTATATTTTCTATATTATTCTTAACTTCCTCCTGTCTATTTTCTAACTACTATTTATGCTACTTATTCCCTGTACCTTTTTCCCCCTCTATCTCCCTCCCATTCCCCCTCTGATAACCCTCCATGTGATCTCCATTTCTATGACTCTGTTCCTATTCTAGTTGTTTGCTTAGTTTGTTTTTGTTCTTGTTTTAGGTTTGGTTGTTGATAGTTGTGAGTTTGTTCCCATTTTACCATTCATATTTTTTATCTTCTTTTTCTTAGGTAAGTCCCTTTAACATTTCATACAATAAGGGCTTGGTGACGATGAACTCCTTGAACTTGACCTTATCTGAGAAGCACTTTACCTGTCCTTCCATTCTAAATGAAAGCTTTGCTGGAGAGAGCAATCTTGGATGTGGGTCCTTGCCTTTCATGACTTGGAATACTTCTTTCCAGTCCCTTCTTGCCTGCAAGGTCGGTCTCTTTTGAGAAATCTGCTCACAGTCTGATGGGAACTCCTTTGTAGGTGACTGTCCCCTTATCTCTTGCTGCTTCTAGAATTCTCTCCTTCATTTTAATCTTGGGTAATGTAATTATGATGTGCCTTGGTGTGTGCTTCCTTGAGCCCAACTTCTTAGGGAGACTCTGAGCTTCCTGGACTTCCTGGAAGTCTACTTCCTTTCCAGGCTGGGGAAGTTCTCCTTCATTATATCTTCAAGTAAGTTTGCAGTTTCTTGTTCTTCCTCTTCTCCTTCTGGTACCCCCTATGATTCGGATGTTGGAATGTTTAAAGTTGTCCTGGAGGTTCCTCAGGCTCTCCTCATGTTTTTGAATTTTTGTTTCTTCATTTGTTTCTGATTGAATGTTTCTTCCTTCCTTCCTTCTGCTCCAAACCATTGATTTGAGCGCCAGTTTCCTTACTTCCACTGTTGGTTCCCTGTATATTTTTCTTTACTTCACTTTGTATAGCCTTTGCTTCTTTTTTTATTTAGTGGCCATACTCAATTATTTCTGTAAGCATCCTGATTACCAGTGTTTCAGACTCTGCATCTGGGAGGTTGGCTACCTCCTCATCATTCAGTTCTTTCTCTGGAATATTGCTCTGTTCTTTCATTTGGGCCAAATTTCTTTATTTCAGCACACCTGTTATGTTGTGAGGGGCAGAGCCTTAAGTATTCACCAGGGCAGGGCAACCCACATTCTGGCTGCATTGTGGCAGGTATGTGAGGGAGGGGTCAGAAAGGCAACGATACTGCTCGCTAGGCTTTCCACCTGCTTTCACGAGACTGGCAGCTTCTCCTGCCCCCCCACCAACCCTCACAGGTTTTTACATCCAGAGGTTCTGAGGCTTTATTTTCCTGTGTTGGAACACTGGGTTGTGAAGTCTGTCTCGCTCCTCAGTAGTTCCTCTTGATTTACCTGCACATGAATGTGGGATCACCTGGTCTACCAGCTGACACCTCACCCACCTGGGCTGCCAGCTGCTCCCTTGCTGCAAGTCCTCTCCACCTCAGTTTCCCGTCTCCACCCCTCCTACTAGTCTGGATGAATGTTTCTTTTTTAACTTCTTGGTTGTCGCACTTCCATACAGTTCGATTTTCTGGAAGTTCTGGTTTTTTTTTTTTTTAAGTTTGTTGTTTCCTTCTTTTGGTTGTGCAACCAGGTGAAGCATCTCTACCTACACCTCCATCTTGGCCTGAACACAGAGCTTCTTCTATCATTTCTCTTCATTGTTTTAATCATATTCTGTTTATATTTCTGTGCTGTTACATTGCTGCAATCTGAGTGATTTCTACAGATCTACTGTCTAATTTATAAATATTCACTTTTACTATGCAAATTTGTTGTTTATCCTTCTATCCTAATTATTAAAAAAATAACTCTGATGCATTTGGGGGAGTAAAGATGAGCAAAAAGATGTAACCGTCTTCCTTTCTTCTGAAAGCATAACAGTTTGGAGAAATTTGCTAAGGGATGGGGAGGGCAGCAAGGTAATCACACACACACACGAGATAAATGCATGTGTGTGTGTATACATACATAATACATACATCTTAAATGTATAAGGTTGAATCAGTCACCCCATTTATGGTCCATGCAGAGTCTAAGTAGAAGGAAGACTCAGAATCAGATTTTTCTTCCTTTTATAGCTAGAAATGAATTTAAATTTAATATTAAGTAAATTGTTCACACACCACATTGTTCAATGTATATTGAATGTACATATAAATATCTAGAGAAAGGGTATTCCAGAGACAACTGCAAGTACAATGTTCTTGTGGTAGGAAGGGGCTCAAGCATGATTAACGAATAATAAGAAAGAATGGCTAAAGAAGTGTAAACTTGGGAAGGGGAGTAGAAAATGAGTCAGGAGATATGCTCAGGTATTAGATGATGTATGGCCGTAAAAGTCATGATAAGGTTTTGGATTATACCCCAAGTGTGATGGGAAGTGAGTAGTAACTCAAGTGTCCTTGAAAATGTTAGATAAAAGTCCTATTTAAATCATACCTTATATTTTGTACAATATTTTAAAAATGAGGATTGTTAATAGAAATTATGACTTCATTAGGAACTTAAATTACTTCATAAGAGTCAGGCTTTTTAATTTCTAAAACATGTATAAGATGACATAATCTGATATAAGAACCTAGACAGAACTCTCTTACTTTGAGACTTCTGTATATGAGATATATATATATCAGAGTATATAAAACACATCATGTATAGTTTAATAAAAAATTATAGAGTGACCCAGTGTAGCCATAATATAGGTTAAATTGAATATTACCAGCTCCCCAGGAACCCTTGCTATATGACTTTTTAAAAAAGAGCTTACTTAGTACTATAATCTGATAATTATCCACTTAAATGTCAACTGGAATCATGTGACCAATCTTTTTACGGGCAAAAGGAATGTTCCCTTAAGTCCATATTTAATTTCAACATGGAAATTGAGTACATATCCACTTAGAACCTATTCACATTTCAATATGGAAATGTACCATCTCAAAGGCACTACTTTTTAATTTTAAACAAAATATATATCAAAAATGTATAAAAAACAGAACTATAGAACTTGAAGAAAATGTGTACACCTGCATACATTTTTGTGAAAGCAAACCTAATAGTAATAGCTTCAACATAAAAAGCATTAGATTAAAGTAAAATAAAAGTCACTTGAAAGTTTAAGATCTCATTATGGATTTCATTATAACAAATTAGGTAAAATAAGACTTTTTTGTTTCTGTATAGCTTCTAGTATATGCTTAGCACTCAATAAATGTGAAACAATAAAATATGAATTAGGCTAATCATATCTAAAATATATTTTATTAAATTTAAGCCTACTTAAAATTTTATATTATAGAAACTTGACATGTCACTGATTCATAACCTTTTTCAATATTAAAAATTAAACCTATGAAGTCTAGATTGCTATATATTTTAAATAAACATTTTAGCAATAAACTACCAGAGAAGAACAACTATATGTATGTATGGTCAAATTTAAACTAACAATATTTTAAAATAAAACATTTCACATTAAATTAGGTTATTTGCTTACAGAAAATTCTGCAGATTTTTTGAAAATGAATTTAAAATAGTAAAGGAAGAGAAGGGAATGAAATGTAATAAAACCAGCAATATAAAGATATACAAAGTGTGGATAAGACTAAATGGACAACATGTATAAAAATAATGTTTAGGAGTATCATTCTTAAACTGCATAGTGCAGTGGTACCTGAATTATGTGCCCTTTAATTTATGCACATGATGGATAGCTTGTTAAGAGGCACATCTGTAACCATTATAATTGATAGTAGCTGAAGGCAGTCAGGCCATAATTTCTATTTAATAGATAGGACGGTAAAGGAAGAAAGTCTGCAGTAGCATTTTAAAGTAAGTACCTACAAAGTTTACATTTATGTCCAAAGTAATATCTATATTCTAGCCTTTTCTATGTTGAATTCTTTAAGAAGAGAAAAATCAGCTGCAGTAATATCCATATATTATTAAATAAAAATTTTGATTTAACCAGTAACTAGAAATATATTATAATAAATGAAAAAGAATGTTTAACTAACCATTTGATGGTCCATTTTTGTGCTCTTGTTCTTTAGACCTTGTGGGAGAAGCAAATGGGCTCAACTGACAAGTTCCAGTTGTTGGAGAATAATCTGTAACACTTTTCTTCCTTGTGATTTTTGAAGGGCCAAATGACTGGAAACAAGCATTAATTTGGGACAAAAATACTATGTTTAGTTACAGATATTTGAAAATACCTTTGAGAACTCACAAAATTCAACCAATAGTGTTTTTCTTGTTCTTTCTTTTAGACTTTAAACATACTCAATTATCACCTTCAAAATGCACACTACTTTTTAAGTTATGTATATATTTTCAGTTTCCCTATGTATATACTTTGTATATATTTTAGGGCATCTCAATTGTTTGGTATTTATAAAATTTTAACATTAAAGAGTTACTACCTTCTGAGACAGTACTTCCAAACTAATTAGAGATGGCTGACTCTCCCAATTATACCCTGACTTTTACTATTAGCGGAACTTGACATACAATTATGGGGGTGGGCCAGGAGAACTCTGAGATCTCTTACTAAATCCCATAGGGAAATCCTAGGAAGGGTCAGTTCTGTACTAAACCTTCACAAAGTTGCTTTGTCACAGACAGTCTTTTGCCTTCCTGATAATCAAAGTAATGTCTAAATAATTGAGTATGAAATTTAAGGTCTTTGAGAATTTGGCCTATCCTACACTAATCCCCTCTGTAGCTTCCTCCTCTTTGTCTTCACAGGCCTTGTGCATATTTCCTATTGAAGTTAGCACATTTTTTTATGTTTTTTTCCTGCCCCATTAAAATTTGAGTTCCTGAAAATATCATTTCTTTGTTTTTGTACCCTAGAACTCAAAAAAATATGTGATAAATGAATGATACATAATTATACACCTGAAATCTATAAAATTTTGGTAACCAATGTCACCCCAATAAATTCAATAAAAGTCCAATAAACTTGGCCAAGCCACTATATACATTTGTTCCTTAGTTCACTTATCCAATATTAAATGGCACTTACAGTTCAAGTATCTGGCTATACACACATGGGCCCTAGCCCTCTCAATCTTATCTTCCCTGGGACGTAGTCTTTCTTTGGTTTGGGTCTCCGTTCATGTCCGCTTTCTCCAAACACCATTATCACACTATTAATTGCTTGTTCTTCTGAATTCCCTTTAAACTTGTTTTCATTAGTAAACAATGCTTACTAATTACCCAGCACTTGCTAACTAATGTGTACAAACAAACAGAAGAAGTTGTTCTGGCCCCAGACACAGCAGTGAAGGGGTATTAAGGTAGTGTGTGTGCTAAGGAAATCGAGACAGAAAATCAAAGCAGGCTGCAGTAACCTCACAGCACAACTTCTGTGAGGGGGCAGGGTGAGGCTTAGATAAGTGAAAATAAAAGGTATGAAAAACCTGAAATCTAGACATAAAACAGATAATATAGAGTGTTTGGGGGATAAAGGAAAGGTCTGAAGACTCAAACGCTGTCAACATTATGGAACTGAACTTTAGTTTGGTAGCTGTCTTGAAATAGTTATTTAATTTTCCAATATCAACTACTCTTTATTTTCAAGACACCATGGCAGAAATAGTGGCTGTGTCCCACTTTTCAATAATCTTGTTATTAGTTCCCAAATCTAATGCATCAATTTTTTTATAGTTAAGATTTTAAATGAAAAATACTTCTTTGTATTGAGGGAACAAGGGCATTCCATTCTTTATTTTATGTACCCACAGTAGCCACAAATGTAACCAATATCTTTAAAAAAATCAAACTATTATATCAAGTTATAACTCTAGCACAATCTTTTTTTTGTAGGGTGAAAGGGTTTTAGGTCTCTTTTATCAGGTAGTTATTATTACCTCTCCATCTTGAGTTTTCACCTGTTTATATGTATTCAGTCATAAACTATGACATTTATCCAATCCTACCCTACTTTCCCAAGAATTTATTGCCCAGAACTATTTCACTGTGTATGTACAAGAAATGAAAGTCACTACCCTAATGTACATTTATGTCGATCTGTTTTCCTATTTTCACCAAAAAATTATTTTTTCCAATTGCCAAATATCTAAACATTGTAACTGTAGATCATACATTTCTCCTTGAAAACAATTTTCTAGCTTTCATAAAATAAGTCTTTGTGTGTGTGCATGTGTGTGTGTATGTGTATATGTTTTCCTTCACCTTAAAAATACTGAGTCTCTTGCTTTCTTTCTTTTTTGGTCATCTGTGTTGTTTAAAAGAAAAAATGTCTGTCCACAATTATTATGCACAGTAATACATACTTTCCCACTAAATATTCCTCAGTAAATAAAGAATTTTTATATATCTGCCTACTGATATATATGAAGGCATAACCTTACTCTAAGTTTTTCCCCCCTCTGAAAGTTGTCTGAAGATATACTTTTAAACCTTAAAAATGCTTGAAAGTGACCCTACAATTGTTCTGAGAATTTCCATTCTACCATCCCCAAACACTGAAGGACTTGGCCTACTGATTAGTCTCCCACAACAGGAAAAGTTATGAAGATGGGATTGTCAGGCCAGTTTCAATGGTTTTTCCATACAAACTACTTGTACTGGCTCATGCCATGGGCTTTCCTAAAATCTCTCAAACAGTGTCTGGCCTCAGGAAGCCTCGTACCTCTTGTTAAGTGGCTGCAGACCTGGCAAGGCTTGGCAAAGCCAGCCTTGATTTGCAGCTTAGCCTCTCCTGGGTACTTCCAAGCCAGGCACAAGTCACAGCCATCGGCAGATCGCTTTGTAGCTCAGGCTGGGTGGCCCTGGACAGGGCACATACAATGACAGACTTCAGCTGACACCTCCTGGGAGGCCCCAGAGCCAGCGTACACAGTGAACAGCCTCAGACCACACCCAAGCACCACTCGACCACCTCCACAAGCTACACACTCAAGCGGCAGACTCAGGGAGCATCTGAGATCTAGTGGTGTGTGTCACTGGTTTGGCTCCAATAAACTCATAAAAATTCTCCACAGGTTTGGCATCAATTTACTTGGTAGCTGGGAAGAATCCAAAGTAGTACACCCAGGACCACCCCATGGACCTGGTGCTAGGTATAAGCAAGGTCCCATTGTGCCCCACCAGCTCCTTGCCTCCCATCAGGTGAATTTGGTGAGCTCCCAGAAGACAAAGACTTTAAAGATTATTGACTACCACCTGGTGACATGGTTTACTGGAAAGGGCATCTAATAAAAGGCACACTCCAACCTTGTTGGAAAGAATCTACTCAGGTGCCTAACCATGAATGAACATCTATGCCTGTCCAAGATTCCTTGAGGATGAGGAGCTGCTGACCCCAAAGGGAGACAGCTATCCCAAGACATTAATGTGGCCTGTATATCTACAGATTGATACTGAACTCAGAATCCATTTTGTGTGATTGTCTTTATCTGTCTGCTAATGATATTAGTCATATTAATAGTTATATTTGTCCTCTGAGTTTTTTCATTTAGTCCAACTGTTTATGATTACTGAACGTGTATGAGATATCTGATAATATGCTTTTCATGGCTCATGTCAATATTATACTAAATACCAAATACAGCCCTGGCTGGCATACTCAGTGGATTGAGCGTGGGCAAACCAAGGGGTCGTCAGTTCGATTCCCAATCAGGGCACATGCCTGGGTTGTGGACCAGGTCCCAGGTAGGGGGCATGGGATAGGCAACCACACATTGATGTTTCTCTCCCTCTCTTTCTCTCCCACTTTCCCTCTAAAAATAAATAAAATTCTTTAAAATGGTGGGGCAGAACAGTGGGCACAGGAGCCTCACTGCAGTGAGTCCTGCTCCATAGAGTTGGTCCCTGCAAAACAGATCCTCCACAGTGGTCATGGCCAGCCAAGTGGCCTCCAGGTAGATCCCTCCCATTGATGTGCCCACAGCAATCAAAGCTCAACTACAACAGGAAAGTGAATGCAGCCTACAGAGGGTTTGTACTTGGACTGACCAGCTTGGATGACTGGATGGCCTGTGCCACTGGGCCCTACAGAACACTTACTACATTAGGCCACTCTAACAAGACCAGGAGACTTAGCAGCTCGACTTAATACCTAGAAGCCGACACAGGGAGGTTGCCAAAATAAGGAGACAAAGAAACACGTCCCAGATGAAAGAGCAGAACAAAACTCTAGAAGGAGAACTAAACAAAATGGAAACAAGCAATCTACTAGATGCAGAATTCAAAACACCGATCATAAAGATGAACTTAGGTAGAGAGCAGATGAACTTAGTAAGAACATCAACAAAGAACTCTGAGAAACACGGAAATGGAACTAGAAAACATTTTTAAAAGAACCAGTAAGAAATGAAAAATACATGAACTTAAAGGAAGAATACATTACAGGAACTCAATAATGCAGTAGGTGAAACATAGGATCAAATCAGAGATCTGTAAGAAAAGAGCAGAAAATACCCAATCAGAACAGCAAAAAATAAGAAAAACATAAAATAAAAAATGAGGACAGTATAAGGAGCCTCTGGGGTAACTTCAAGCCTACCAACATTTGCACTTGAGGTGGGGGGTGCTAGAAGTAGTAGAGAGGGAGCAACGAATTGAAAACCTATGCGCTCTCCCAGCAGCGAGTAGAGGTCTGAGTTTTGAATCAGGGGTGGTGAATTCCCTACCCGCTGGGCAACCGGATGCTGGAAGAATTCAAAGGCCAAGCGAGGTGTGGCTGCTGGGGGGCATCATCCTGCTCACAGCCTCTGCCTCCTGCAGTAACACTATTCAAGACTGTGGAGCTCCCTCTTTGGGATCGGTGTTCAGACCCACCTAGGCCCACAGCTGCTCTGGCATGGTGGATGGCCTGGAAATGGAAGTCAGGGCCGGACCCTGCTGGGTTCCCTGTGTAACCAGCACTCAGCTTTGAGTTAAGCCAGTTCAGCTTCATACAGATTTACAAATGAACTCCTTGAACTTTTCCTTTATTCGACCAAGTGACCTCAGGACCTTGGTTTTGCAAGCCTTTGTATGCTACACTGAGCTCACACTGGCTGCCGCTCAGGTTGGAGGCTGCCAGCCCCAGGAACTGAATAGCTGGAGAGCCAACTGGGGTGGTGCTCAGGTGCCAAATTTTTCATGGCCGCCAGGTTCCACGGGTATGCTGCCTCGGTGTGCTCTAGTTGTCCTGCTGGGGGTGGAATGTCCCTGGCTGAGCAGGCCTCTGAGGATGTGGGGGGTGGTGGCTGTGATACTAACCAACCCCTGCTATTTGGGTAGCCTTCATGGGGAGGGGTTATTTTCCTGGGAAATTTGCAGACCTGCTGTAAAAGATAGTTCTTACTTTTATTCTTTTCATAAAGACATTGTAAAACAACAAATCATTGAATTTGAATGAAATTGAAGAAGGTGATTCTTTTACCTCTGGAGTTATAGAAAAGCACATTATGAAATATACTTGAAAACTGCATGGATGTATTTAAAAAAAACAAAGAAAAGAAAACCTATGTGAAAAAGTAATCACAGAAAACTTTCCTAACCTGGTAAAGAAAATAGACATACAAATCCAAGAAATGCAGAGTCCAAAACAAGATTAACTAAAAGAGGTCCACACCAAGGCACATAATAATTAAAATGCCAAAGGTTAAAGACAGAGAATCTGAAAAGTAGTGAGAGAAAAGCAGTAGTTACCTATAAGGAAGCTCCCATAAGACTGTGAGCTGATTTATTAAGCCAGTCCATGAAAGATAAATACCATATGATCTCACTTTTATATGGAATCTAATGAACAAAATAAACTGATGAGCAAAATAGAAACAGAGGCATGGACACATGGAATTGACTGAGTGCTGTCAGAGGGGAGAAGGGAGGGAATACTGGAGGAAAGAAGGTAAACAGTGTGGGGACTGCCTGAGGGAGTCGGGGGTGCTGAGTGGAGGTGGGCAAAGGGAGAAATGGGGACAACCGTAATAGCATAAACAATAAAATACAATTTTTAAAAAGAGATAAAAGGAAAAAATCCCCCAAACCAAAAAACCAAGTGTCATCCTAGTATATGAGGTTTTATATTATATATATAAACTATTGCTGCATATATAAATGTTAATATAAACTGTTATCCAGAAAACTTAATTTCAAATTCTTCGTGATATACCTTTTCAAGCAATGTAATTCATAATAAAAGCTAATTTGAAAAGAAAAGGAAAGTCAGCTGATTTCTCAATGGAAACTTTTGTAGGCCAAAGCGTTTGGCATGAGACAGTCAAAGTGAGGAAAAGCAAGGATCTACAACCAAGATTACTCTGCAAAGCTATCATTTAGAATGGAAGGGCAGATAAAGTGCTTCCCAGACAGAAAGCTGAAGGAGTTCACCACCACCAAACCATTATTACAATAAAGGTTAAAGGGTCTTCTTTCAGGAGAAAAGATAAAAAATATGAATAATAAAATGGCAATATATAAATATCAACAATTACTTTAAATGCAAATGGACTGAATGTTCCAATCAAAAGACATAAGATGGCTGCATGGATAACAAGACAAGACCCTTGCATATGCTGTCTACAAGCAACTCCCTTCAGATGGAAAGACACATGTGGACTGAAAATAAAGAAACAGAAAAAGATATTTCATGAAAATGTTAACAAACAAAAAAGCTGGGGTAGCAATACTTACTCCAGACAAAATAGACTTTAAAACAAAGGCTATATATAATAATACACAAAGAAGGACCCAGCAGCTCCACTTCTAGGTATTTATCCAAAGAAACCCAAAACATTAAATCAAAAATATATACATCCAGGGACTTCTGGCCAAGATGGAGGCGTAAATGGAGACATCATTTTGGTTGTGCCTCCTCGCACAACCAAATTGAAGGACAACAAAGATTTAGAAACAAAAACACAACCAGAACAGACAGAAAATTGAACTGTACCAAAGTCCAGCAATGACAAACCATTCACCCAGACCGGTAAGTGGGGCGGAGTTGGTGGTCGGTGGAGAGGGGTCCTGGCAGGAAGAGGCGGTGGTTAGCAGAACCAGGTGCGGGGACAAATTGAGCAAACCCAGTGAAACACGCCAGGTGGTTGGCTGACCACGGATACACACCTGCATGCAGATAAACCAGGCAAAAAACAGGCAGTGAGACAGACCACACAACCCAGGGCCCGAGCGACAGGAAATAAAGCCTAAAAACACCAACTGGAAAAACTATCGGGGGTAGAGGTGCCAGGAGAGGCTCCCAGCCTCACTGGAGAGTTTGCTGGAGAGACCCACAGGGTCCTAGAACATACAAAAGCCCACCCATCTGGGAACCAGCACCAGAAGGGCCCAATTTGCTTGTGTGAAGTAGCAGAGGGGACCAATTTCGAGAGAGCTCAGAACAAGCGCCATTGTTCCCTCTATGACCCTGTGCCCACATACAGCATCATAACCTAGCCAGGTGAGTTGCCCCATCCTGGTAAAGACCTAAGGCTCCACCACTCATACATAACAGGCATGACCTGACCAAAAATGGCTCAATTAGAAGAACAAATCAAAGCCCTAAAGCCAATACTTTTAAGCAACTAAGAGACCTTATCAGATGCACAAAACACTGTTGATCAGGATGCTCATAGAACTGGTTGATTTTGGTTCCAAATTTGATGAAAAAATGAAGGCTACACTAAGTGAAATGAAGGAAAATGCACAGGGATCCAATAATGATGAAAAGAAAACTGGGACTCAAATCACTGGAATGGACCAGATGGAAGAAAGAAACAACCAAACAGAAAAGAAAAAAGAAACAAGAATTCAAAAAAAATGAGGAGAAGCTTAGGAACCTATAGGACATCTTTAAACTTTCCAACATCCGAATTATAGGGGTACCAGAAGGAAAAGAGGAACAGCAACAAGTGGAAAACTTATTTGGACAAATAATGAAACAGAACTTCCCCAATATGGCAAAGCACATAGACTTTCAGGAAATCCAGGAAGCTCAGACAGTACCAAAGAAGTTGGGCCCAAGGAGGAACACACCAAAACATATCATAATTACATTACCCAAGATTAAAATGAAGGAGAGAATTCTAGAAGCAGCAAGATAAGGGCCCAGTCACCTACAAAGGAGTTCCTATCAGACTGTCAGCTGATTTCTCAAAAGAGACCTTCCAGGCAAGAAGGGACTGGAAAGAAGTATTCCAAGTCATGAAATCCAAAGACCTATATCCAAGATTGCTCTATCCACCAAAGCTTTCATTTAGAATGGAAGGGCAGATAAAGTGCTTCTCAGATAAGGTCAAGGTCAAGGAGTTCATCTTCACTAAGCCCATACTATATAAAATGTTAAAGGGACTTATCTAAGAAAAAGAAGATAAAAAATATGAACAGTGAATGAACAGCAAACTCACAGTTATTAACAACCACACCTAAAACAAAAGCAAACTAAGCAAACAACTAGAACAGGAGGAGAGCCACAGAAATGAAGATCACATGGAAGCTTAGTAACAGGAGTGGGAGGAAGAGAGTGGGGAGAAGGTACAGAGAATAAGTAGCACAGATGGTGGGGAGAAAATAGGGAGAGGACAAGAGTAGTATGGGAAATGTAGAAGCTAAATAACTTATGACACATGGACATGAACTAAAGGGGGAGAGGTGGGTGCAGGGGGAGTGTGCAGGGTGGAGGGGAATGAAGGGGGGAAATGGGACAACTGTAATGGCATAATCAATAAAATACATTTAAATATATATATATATACATCCATATGTTTACTGAGGCATTATTTACAACATCCAAGATATGGAAGCAACCTAAGTGTTAATTAATAGGTAAGTGGATAAATAGATAAGTGGATCATAGATAAATGGTGCACCTATACAATGGAAAATGACTTAGCCATAACATAAAAGAATGAAATCTTACCATCTGCAAACAACATGCATAGACCTAGAAGGTATTGTGCTGAGTGAAGACAGACAGAGCCAGAATTATTTCACTTATAAGTGGAATCTAAAAAACAAAAATAAACAAACAAGGAAACCAGAAACAGATTCATAGATACAGAAAACATTTTGATGGTTGCCAGGTGACAGAGGGCTTGAGGGATAGATGAAAAAGGTAAAGGGATTAAGAAATACAGTTGGTAGTTACTCATGGGGAGCGGAGAAAGTACAGCATAAGGAATATAGTCAATAATATTGTAATAACTGTATATGGGGTCAGATGAGTAATAAATTTACTGGGCTGATCACTTTGTAAGTTACTTAAATGTATAATTACTGGGTTGTATACCCGGAACTAATATAATACTGTATGTCAACTGTAATTGAAAAAAAAATTATTTAAAAAGAAAAAAAAGACTGAGATTTGAGAGATTAGCATTCTTCCCACTCAGCAATGATGACTGCTACCTACCAGATCCTTTAGGAAAAAAAAAAATAGGAATCAGGTAAGTCAAAACTACTTCTTTAATAATTTACAACTGCTTGTGATACTTACTGACTCCTTAGAGGTATTTACCACAACTATTAAAAAAAATTTCTATGACCAGACCAAATGCCAGTACACTTTTTTGTAAGAAGGTCAAACCTTGTACATTCATAAAACTAAGGTTTGGACATTGATTTTTCTGCCAAAAAAAAAAGAAGAAAAAAAGAAATGAATTTTCTCCCCATAATTTCAAATATATATGATGTTCTCCATCAGTATCTTTCACAAATTGTAGCTTGCTTTGTCACCTTGTTTAAAGCATATTCTACCAAATAGATGCCTGAATTTTATTGATTTTTACCTACTATAAACAGTCTTGAAAGTACTAACTAAGGCTTCCTTCAGTATGATTTATGGAATATTAAGGATGAACTACACTATCATTGAAATACTTGACACAGGTACTATAGGTTTTTGGACAAGCAGAAACAAAAGAAAAGTTAGGGCAGCCAAAGGAAGATAATTCTTTATAAACCTCTACTGGCTTAATTAGTTACCTCACCTAAGATATTATTATGAATAACTAGTACTAATTATAGAATTTACATTAGAAAACTCTAAATATTAGCTGTCTCAAAAACTTTTCTCGATTTGGATCTAGGGTTCCTGGAAGAGTCCTTGATACCAACAAACTTCTGATCAGCTGCCACAATTATTGTCCTTAGTGGTTCTTGTAATATTGTGGTTTTGTTATTATTTATTATTTTCATGGTAGTTACGGAGAATAAAAGCATCTTGAACGTACCTCAGTAATCTTACTGGGGTAGCAAGGAAATAATATAGCCAATATATTAGATCTGTGGTGATGGAAATGTTCTATTTCTTGACTGGGTATTTGATAGAGGTACACATCTATTAAAACTCACATGGAATTGTACAATAAAGATCTGTGAACTTCACAATATATAAATTTTACTTTGATAAAAAAATTTAATAGAAAAAAATTAAAACTAGTTAAAGATTGCATAGTGTTTCTTTTGTGCTCATTATTGTACCTTAAATTTAGGATATGAACACATTAATTTTAATATTACATATGTCCCTACTCTGTTACTCTCTTCCACTGTAATCCTGAAGAAGTTTTTAATGAAGTCTTTACCATGGCTATTTCCCATCATCCTGCATATGTCCTCATATTTTTCATAATATAAAGTGAATTCTACCTCAAACATAGTGTTGTTGGTTTTTTAAAAATCTGTTTCATTGTTCTTTAGCTATTCTAGTGGGTGGAAATGGTATCCCTATGTGGTTTTAATTCGTATTTGCAGTGATGCTGAACACTTTTTCAAATGTGCTAATTATCCATTTAAAATTTTTGTGAAATGTCTGTTCAAGTTTCTGTACATATTTTTTTGCACTGTCTTTTAAAACTATTTATATAGTGTAGGTACAAGTCTTTTGTTAGATATATGCATGAAACATATTTCCTTCTCAATCCATGGCTTGCCCAATTGTTTTCTTAATGGTATCTTCTGAAGAACAGAAATTTGTAACTGTGATAAAGTTTAATGTATCAACTTTCCCCCCCCTCTGGTTAGTATTTTTGTGTTGCATGAAATTTTGCCTACTTTTAGGTCTGAAAGATATGTTTATTTTCAGAAGCTTTATGCTTTTGGCTTTTACCATATACCTATGATACTACAAGAAATGAAAAATCATACTACATTAATAGCAAGAAAAGAGACTGGATCAATATTTAAAAAACTTAAAAAAAAAAGAAAAAGCCAGGACCAGCAGCTTCACTGGTGAATTCTACCAACATTTAAAGAAGAACTGATACCAATCCTTCTCAAATATTAGGGAAACACCCCCTAACTCATTCTAGCAAGGCAATATTACTCTGATGCAGGAACTAGACAAATAAATCACACACAAAAACAGTACGGACCAATATCCCTTATAAATATATACACAAAAATCCTTGGCATACTGCCAAGCTGAAATGAGAGACAAATGAAAAGAATTATATATTATGATCAAGTGGGATTTAACCTGTGTATGCAAGGTTGGTTCAATATATAAAAAACCAAACAATGTTATACACCATATTAAGAAGATAAAGGAAAAAACCCACATGATCATCTCAGTAGATGCAGAGAAAGCATTTGACAAAAATCCAACATCCTTTCATGATAAAAATACTCAACAAACTAGGAACAGAAGGGAACTTTCTCATTCTAATAAAGGGCACCTAGGAAAAACCTAGAGCTAACATCCTATTTAATGGTAAAAGACTGGATGCTTTCCCCTAAGATCAGGAACAAAACAACAAAGTCTGTTCTTGCCACTTTTTTCTCAACATTGTTCTGGAGGTTCTAGTCAGGGCAACAAGCAAGAAAAATAAATAAAAGGCATCTGATTAGAAAGAAAGAAGTAAAGCTACCCATATTTGCAGATGACATTATTTGATATATATAATATCCTAAGTAAAAAATTAGAGCTAATAAGTTCAGCAAAGTTATACAAAATATGATCAATATACAAAAATCAGCTGCATTTCTATACACCAGCAATGACTAATCTAAAGTGAAATTATAAAAACATTTACATTAGCACCAAAAAGAATAAATACTTAGGAATAAATTTAACCAAAAGAGTGTAAGACCTGTATACTCAAAACCACAAAAAAATTGCTGAAAAATATTGTAAAAGAAAGCAAAAATAACCTGTTTTCATAGTTTGGAAGAATTACTGCAGATTCACGGTAATATCTACCAAAATTCCAAATAACTGTTTTTCAGACCTTGATAAGGTGATCCTAAAATTCATATGGAATTGCAAGGGACACAGAATAGCAGAAGCAATCTCAGAAAAAAAAAAAAAAGAGAACTCACATTTCCTGAGTTCAAATTTACAGTAATTAAAATTTGTTTACTTTGAAAATTTACAGTAATCAAGACAGTGTGGTAGTGGCATAAGGACAGGTCTGAAGATGAATGGAAAAGATCTGAGGGTCCAGAAAAAAAAAATCAGTATATTTATGGTCCACTGATTGTCAACAAGGTGCCAATGCCATTCAATGGGGGAAAAGAGCTTTCAACAAATAGTGCTTTGACAACTGAACATCCATACCATGTACAAAATTTAACTCAATTAGGTCTTTGACCCATATATAAGAGCCAAAACTATAAAACCTTTGGCAAAAAAACATAGTAAAAATTTGTGGTGCCCTACATTATGCAACAGTTTCTTAGCTACAACCCCCAAAACACAAGCAATCAAAAAAAAGTTAATGAATTGGATTTTATCAGAATTTAAAACTTGTGATTTAAAGCACACTATCAAGAAAATGAAAGGACAACTCACAGAACTGGTGAAAATATTTGCAAATCATGCATCTGATAAGGGTATAGTACTAAAAATACATAAAAAATCTTGTAACTCAACAGTAAAAAGACAAATAAACCAGTTACAAAATGAGAATGAATTTGAATTGATATTTCTCCAGAGAAAATACAGATAGCCAGTAAGCACATGAAAAGATGCTCAGCATCATGAGGGAAGTGAAAATTAGCACCAGAATGAGATACCCACTTCAGACCCAGGAGGGTGGCTAGAATCGTAAAGTCAGATAACAACACGTGATAAGGATGTGAATAAACTAGAATTCTCAAATACAATGTTAGTGGGAAGGTGAAGCGGTGCAGTCACTGTAGAAAAGAGTTTGGAAGTTTTTCAAAAAATTAATGACAGATTTACCATATAACCAGCAATTTCACTACTAGGTATATAATCAACACAAGTGAAAACTCACACACAAAAAAGAGATTTTATTTATTTATTTTTAGAGAGGGGAAGGGAGAGAGAAAGAGAGGGAGAGAAGCACCAATGTGTGGTTGTGTCTCGCACACCCCTCAACTGGGGACCTGGTCCGAAATTCTGGCATGTGCCCTGACTGGGAATCGAACTGGTGACCCTTTGGTTGGAAGGCCAGTGCTCAATCCACTGAGCCACACCAGCTAGGGTGAACACTCATTTATATAAAAGTTTTATAAGAATGTTGATAGCATAATTATTCATAATAGTTAAAAACTGTATGAACAGCTCAAATGTCCTTCAATTGAGGAATGAATAAACAAAAGGTGATACGTTCATACAAAGTAAAATCATTCAGCCATAAAATGGAATGAAGTACTGTTAAATGTGACAACATGAACCTTGAAAACATTATGCTAAATGAAAGAAGCCAGTCACAAAAGGCACCTATTGTATGATTCCATTTGTTTCCCTAACTTGATGAGAGAAAAAGTCACACAAATCCAGGAATCACAGAGAGTCCCAACCAAGAGGAACCCAAGGAGGCCCACTTCAAGACACATCATCATCAAAATGGCAAAATTCCAAGACAAAGAGAGAATCTTAAAGGCAGCAAGGGAGAAAAAAGAAGTAACATACAAGGGAGCCCCAATAAGGTTAGCTACTGACTTCTCAATGGAAACACTCCAAGCAAGAAGAGAATGTCAAGAAATATTCCAAGTAATGAGAACCAGAGGCCTGAAACCAAGGCTACTTTACCCAGC